GGCCAAGCGTCTTTGTCCAAAATGCAAGGAAACAGCTTTTTGCAAATGACGATTGTCGAATTGGCCGAATGTGATGAAGAAGAAGAATTCGAAGTATTTCGCCACCTACGTTTCAAAACGTCTCGGAAAAGCCAGCCCAAACAATCACAGAATTAGGAAAATAGATGCGACCATAGATTTTTGTAGTAGTGGTCTTCTGCTAATCCTTCTTGAGTACTTGACCTTGCTTCTGATGGTTGCTGAGCTGCGCGATCGTGAAAATCTTTTGATAATGCTCCAAGTAAACGCTCCGGATTAAATCAAATCCAACCCAAACCATCACAGAAGCAGGAAAATGGCTACAACCATAGATTTGTGTAGTAGTGTTCTTCTGCTAACGCTTCTTGAATACTTAACGTTGGTTCTGATGGTTGCGGAGCTGCACGATCGTGAAAATCTTTTGACAATGCTCCAAGTAAACGCTCCGGATTAAATTAAACCTAACCCAAACAATCATAGAAGCAAGAAAATGGCTACAACCATAGATTTTTGTAGTAGTGTTCTTCTGCTAACCGTTCTTGAGTACTTGACCTTGGTTCTGATGGCTGCGGAGCTGTGCGATCGGAAAAATCTTTTGATAATGTAATAGTAAACGCTCAGGATTAGATTGAACCCAACCCAAACCATCACAGAAGCAGGAAAATGGCTACAACCATAGATTTTTGTAGTAGTGTTCTTCTGCTAACCCTTCTTGAATACTTAACGTTGGTTCTGATGGCTGCGGAGCTGCGCGATCGTGAAAATCTTTTGACAATGCTCCAAGTAAACGCTCCTGATTAAATTAAACCCAACCCAAACCATCACAGAAGCAGGAAAATAGCTACAACTATAGATTTTTGTAGTAGTGTTCTTCTGTTAACCCTTTTTGAATACTTAACGTTGGTTCTGATGGTTGCGGAGCTGCGCGATTATGAAAATCTTTTGACAATGCTCCAAGTAAACGTTCCAGATTAAATTAAACCTAACCCAAACCATCACAGAACCAGGAAAATGGCTACAACCATAGATTTTTGTAGTAGTGTTCTTCTGCTAACCCATCTTGAGTACTTAACGTTGGTTCTGATAGCTGCGGAGCTGCGCGATCGTGAAAATCTTTTGACAATGCTCCAAGTAAATGCTTCGGATTAAATTAAACCCAACCCAAACCATCACAGAAGCAGCAAAATGGCTACAACCATAGATTTTTGTAGTAATGTTCTTCTGCTAACCCTTCTTGAATACTTAACGTTGGTTCTGATAGCTGCGGAGCTGCGCGATCGTGAAAATCTTTTGACAATGTTCCAAGTAAACGTTCCGGATTAAATTAAACCCAACCCAAACCATCATAGAAGCAGGAAAATGGCTACGACCATAGATTTTTGTAGTAATGTTCTTCTGCTAACCCTTCTTGAATACTTAACGTTGGTTCTGATGGTTGCGGAGCTGCGTGATCGTGAAAATCTTTTGATAATGTTCCAATTAAACGTTCCGGATTAAATTAAACCTAACCCAAACCATCATAGAAGCAGCAAAATGGCTACAACCATAGATTTCTGTAGTAGTGTTCTTCTGCTAACCCTTCTTGAATACTTGACGTTGGTTCTGATGGTTGCGGAGCTGCGCGATCATGAAAATCTTTTGACATTGCTCCAAGTAAACGCTCCGGATTAGATTGAATACAACCTAATCCAACCCAAACCATCACAGAAGCAAGAAAATGGCTACGACCGATTTTTGTAGTAATGTTCTTCTGCTAACCCTTCTTGAATACTTAACGTTGGTTCTGATGGTTGCGAAGCTGCGCGATTATGAAAATCTTTTGACAATGCTCCAAGTAAACGCTTCGGATTAAATTAAACCGAACCCAAACCATCACAGAAGCAGGAAAATGGCTACAACCATAGATTTTTGTAGTAGTGTTTTTCTGCTAACCCTTCTTGAGTACTTGACGTTGGTTCTGATGGTTGCGCAGTTGCGCGATCGTGAAAATTTTTTGACAATCAAATACAAATACAAATATCTTTATTTACTGTAACAACAAATTTACAATAAAATATCCACAAACACAAAAACAAAAAAACGTATTATCAATGTTAATTCTTATCAATTTCATTCACTGCCTCCCTAATAAATTCCTCAAAAGTGTAATATGCACTTTCAATTAGGTGTTTTTTTATAATTATATTGAATTTACTTCTTGACATTGCCGCAATGGAGGGTGGAACTATGTTGAAAAATTTTGGACCGCAATAGTCCATCGATTGTTGTGTTCTTGAGAGTCGGTGATATGGTGTAGCAAGTTGATAGCAAGATCTAGTTGCATAACTATGTGATTCGCCGGGTGTTTGCAAAGTATTCCTATTATCATACACGTACATTAACACCGTATGTATGTATATACTTGGTAGGGTAAGTACTTCTTCTCTAATGAAATACTCCTTACAGCTATCACGCCGTCGCAGATTACAGAGAGCCCTAATTGCTGACTTTTGTATTTTAAATATTCTATGGAACTCAGTTGACTGTCCCTAGAATAGAATTCCGTATGATGCCACGGACTGGAAGAGGTTGACATACGACATTTTGGCGGTTTGGTGTGTAGCTATGCTTTTCAAACGTCTTATGGTGAAAACCTCTGTTGATAACTTCTTTGATAGGGCCTCAATATGATGGTGCCAATCCAGCCGTCCATCGAGATGTAACCCGAGGAACCTCGCCTTACCGACACGATTTTCTGCTTTTGTGCTGAATATTATGCTTTCTGTTTTATTGTGATTTAATTGCAGATTATTACTTTCAAACCATAACTACGCTTCGTACATTGCATTGATAGACTTCTGTTTTAGTTCACGCTTGTCTTTACTTTTTACGATGATTGATGTATCGTCCGCATATAAGCCAATTTCTTCATTGACCGTGGCAGGCAAATCATTAACATATATAATGAATAGTAAGGGCCCTAAAATTGATCCTTGGGGCACACCTTGTTTTATGTTTAATAACTTGGAATTTTTATCTTTCCATTGAACGTATTGTTGGCGTTCGGAGAGGTATGAGTTTAGGAGTTCTAGTTGTACTCCTCTTATGCCATAATATTCCAGCTTGTCTAAAAGTATGTTGTGGCTTACAGTATCAAACGCCTTGGTAAGATCTAATAAGTTGATTTCCACTAGTTCTTTGTTATCAAGTGCTTCTGTAATAAAATTTATGACATTCATCATCGCTGTTGTTACCGATTTTTTCCGTCTGTATCCATGTTGGCAAGTTGTTAATAGGTTAAATTTTTCTAGGTAGTCAATCAAACGATTTGCTATAATTTGCTCAAATATTTTTGAGAAAGCTGGTAATATAGATATCGGTCTGAAATTGTCACATTGATTGCTATCACCTTTTTTGTGTACTGGTAGAATTTTTGCAATTTTTAGTTCATTTGGAAAACATCCTTCATTCACGCATTTGTTTAAAACCTTGGATAGAGGTGACGCTATCACATCGACAACTTGTTTCTTCAACTTGTTGTAATCTCCAAGTAAACGCTCCGGATTAAATTAAACCCAACCCAAACCATCATAGAAGCAGCAAAATGGCTACAACCATAGATTTTTGTAGTAGTGTTCTTCTGCTAACCCTTCTTGAATACTTGACGTTGGTTCTGATGGTTGCGGAGCTGCGCGATTATGAAAATCTTTTGACAATGCTCCAAGTAAACGCTTCGGATTAAACTAAACCCAACCCAAACCATCACAGAAGCAGGAAAATGGCTACAACCATAGATTTTTGTAGTAGTGTTCTTCTGCTAACCGTTCTTGAGTACTTGACCTTGGTTCTGATGGTTGCGGAGCTGCGCGACCATGAATCTTTTGACAATGCTCCAAGTAAACTAGAAAAGAAGTACAGGAACACCCTGAATTCTTGGAAATTCGAGGAGATCTTTGGATATACCTTTGTACTTATGGAAATCCTTAGAAAGGACTAGACGTTTTTGAGAATCTTTAAAAATCATTAAGAACAGTGCAGAATTACCTCACCCATCCGAACTTTTCCTTTTTAGTCTATAGATCTCCCACTCTCTTTTACTTGTCCTGCATCTTTTTAATCTAGTTTTTTAATGTGTTCTTGTTGTTTGTAGCAAGATGCTAATCAACTTTTGACTTCGTTGGAATTAAAAGTATTTGCAATCGACTCGCAGTATAGTGTGTTCCATATGTAGACGAAGGAGATGACAACCTCAGTCTTCCTGACCAACTTGATAACTTTAATATTTTTTTTATATTTATATGTGTATTTACATGTCCATCGAGAAACAATAATATAGAACGTTGCAAATAATTCTGATGTTGCCTAGCTTTGATTGCAATTTTGCTCAAAATCCGAATCAGCAAACTTTAACTATAATAGTATGAGCTTGACACCCAGTAATAACTTGATACTTACGTTTTGGTACAATATCAATGTTTCATCGCATTATAATCGAGTAACTTAAAAAAAAAGCTGGTGTTCTGCTGTATTGCTTTTCTTATAGCAATTTGTGAATGATGCTATATAAACACTAAAGTTCTCATTCCCTTTTCCTTGGTTTTTGTCCTGCCAAATTTTTCTCTCTTACGAGTCTGTTTTCTCTGATATCAGTCTCTACTAAGTTTTATTCTTCTGCTACCGGTGTCTTTTATCTCCTTGTGTTCTTTGATCTTTTTATGTTGTCAGTGTCTTTGTATTTCCAATCTTAGTCTTCTTTTGCCAATCTCTTTCTTCCATGATCAGTTGTTGTTCTATCTTCTATCTTTTTTCTGATACCCAGACTTTATTTAGTTTCTTTTTTGTGTTACCAGTCTTTTTTTTCATTCCCTGCTTTCTGATATCTGTTTCTTTCCAGGCTCAGACCAGCATCTTTTTTCCTTTCCCGCATATTGCACAATTCCTTTTGTTTCATTCTGGACTCTATTCAGTCTTTTTGTTCTATTCCTACTCTCCTTGCTTTTTGTTCAAATCAATTCTTCTCTTTCCTCCTTGCTTCCTACTATCAAGTTTCTCTTTTTAGTATCTTTTTTCGGTTGCCATTCTTGTTCTTATCTTTCCAGTCTCTGCCCAGTTCTTTCCTTCTATTACTAATACCAGTCTATATTAAGTTGTTTTGTTGTATTTTCAGTCTCTGTTCAACTTCTTTCTTCTATGACCGGTCTCCTTTTGATCTTTCTAGTCTCAATTCAGACAGTTTCCGGTATTTCTAGATTCTTTCTATTCATCCTCCTCTCTGCTTAAGCTTTCTTTTCTCATTCCAGTCCCTCTACAATCTGGTACTTCTATTGCCAGTCTTATTCCAGTTTTTCTTTACTACTTACACAATCTTTTTCCAGCTGCTTTTTTCTTTGCCCAACTTGCTTTTTTCCTTTCCAGACTCTGTTCAGTCAATAATTCTCTGTTCCAGACAATGATTCATTAATCGTATAAATTTAACAAGAAATCGTAAGTTTAAATAAATCAGTCACTTGTCATAGCTGTCACAAACCACAAAAAAAACTTCATCATTAACAAAATTTTCAGTAAAAAAAAAATAATAATGTCCGATAAGAAATCATTTGGAACAGATTTTGTAAGTACAACAAAGAAATAATGTTTTATAAACAATGTTTTTTTTTGTTGCAGCGAGATATCAAAGAGAGTTATCTACAGTATGTAACAAAAACACAATTTGATGAATACATATTATCCAAAAAGAATAAGTTGACTAGAACAGCATCGGTGAATAAAATTAAATAAATTTAATTTAAATTAGTTTAATATTTAAAATTATTTAGGAAGAACTTGTAGAAAATTACTTAAAGCTAAGACGTGAATTAACAAATGAACGAATAAAAACGTTATCAAGACCAACAAGTCCTAAGAAAAAATATAAAAGACCAACAACTCCAAAACACACCGTAAATTTATGTACTTTAATCGATTCATTCAATTCTTTTACTTAGATATTTCCAGGTAAACAAAGCTGCTTTATCATACCGCGCATCAAGGCGAATTGAAGAAATGTCAAAACCGAAAACCAGAAACTTAATTCAAAAAGAAACGATCGTTCTGGGAGCAGTAAAACCGGAAGCTTTAGAGCATATGAGTTAACTTTTTGGTTAAATTATTTTTCTCGTTGTGATTTCTAGTTTTTGTTTAGCAACCGAAAAAGAGTATGAATTATCAAATCCGCGATCATGGAAGTATCCCTTGCGCGATCCTAATATTAAAAAGGAACCTTTTGCCACATCCAAAGCGGCATTGAGATATGTACCAACACGGAGAATTGTCAATTTGGCCAAACCACTTAAAAGAAAGATGTTCGAATACAGAAATGATCAGTAACAAATAGGAAAAAAATAGAAAATAATTAAAATCTTTCCACTTATTTATTTTTCGCTTGTAAATTATTATCAAATGTTCTTACACAATTAGCAGCGAAGACCTAGCTCTCGAATCAAAAACAATTCCCAGAAACGAATTGCGTTCAGATTGTCCTCGAAAAAGCATCAAATAAAGGAAAGAAGAGGTGCAGAATATTGAATCAGACTTCAACTCAGTTACTTTCTTTCTGAGTCCTTTTCTTCTTATTTTCTGGATTCTATTCTATTTGGCGAGTATTTGCAGCTTTTTTTATTGCCGCTTTTCGTATCCCAACCTTATCACTCCAATCATCTTCACCCAGTCCTCTCTTCTTCATCTCCACACTGATATCCTGGATCCATTTTTTCCTAGGCCTACCTCTTTTGTTTCTTTCTGCTGCTGGCACCCAGTTCCAAAAGTTTCACAAAGCTTAAGTGGGATTCTCTCTTTACTCATTTGGCGTAAATGTCCGTACCATTTTAGTTGCTTTTCATTTATAGTGTCTATTATTGATTTTTGTGCCATCTTCTTCGTATTCTCTGTCAATTCTCATTCTCAAGTGGGTCCAACTTGGTTATGCCGCAGCATCTTCTCCAAAACATCATCTCTGCTGCTAGCAGTCTTCGAGTTGTGTCTGTCTCTCACCCATACTTCTGACCCATACGTCATTAATCATCCATTGCCTTTATCGCTTTTTTCCTCTGCCAACTTTCCTCATTACATCTTTATTCTCCTTTCCGTGTTCATTTATAACTACCCCAAGGTATTCGTACTGGTCTACATGTTTTATTATGCCGGTTTCCAATTGTATGTTTTTTCCCATTCCTCCAATTAGGTGGAGAACACATTCGAATACTTTTGATCAGCTGTTTCTATTTCATCAAACATGAAAAGTAGCTACTACCTTTTAGTAATACACCAAAGTATGCTCTATTACATGTTACAAAACGTTAAGAGTTTAAAAATAGGCCATATTTTTCCACTCAGTAATATTTATAAAAAAAAGTGCACTTTGTCCGATACTGACATGCACGAGGCACATTCGGACAGTGTGGTACCTAGAGACCAAAATTATAATACAAAAGAGAAACGGGCTACAATGAGTTCAAACTCTTCATTCAATGACGTAATACATATCTAAGTTAATTGGAAACTTAATTATTGCATTTACTCTTGTAGTGCTTGACTTGATAGGTTGTGGCAGTGCAAAATGACATCAGACCTAGGGATCACCCACTCGTCCAAGATATTCGGAAAAACAAAACCTGTATTGCCTTTTTTTCTCAAAAAGCTGACCTCGAGTTCATCAGATCGATCATCAACTAGGACTTTGGCAACGTAATATAGGATGCTTTTTTTTATAGGAAACTTAACCAAAATGTAATTATCGATCACAATTATTGTTTCAAACTATTCTAGTAAGCCTGCCACATCAGTTTCTTCATATTCTAGGTCCATGTTGTCTAGATGTGATGAATCAGAAGAAGATGTCTCATCTTGAATTTTCTTTTGCCATTTCTTTTCTTTACTTACTTTCTTTTCAGTGTTTAATATTGACACCTTCTTTTCGTTGGAAAGATTTGTCTTGTAGCAAGCTAAGAAAAACAGCTTGTTTCATGATTTTCTCCCTTTCAATCTCTTCAATTCGTTCCTTTTCCGGTGTGTCGGTGTAAATTTTGGAGCTTCCTTGCCTGGATTTTCGTACAATCTTTTGTGGGGGTGCTCTTGGAAAAGGGCGAATATCAGCAACCATGTAATTCTTTTTTCTCTCTTCGAATACGTTTATAAGCAACAATACTTGTCACCATCTTGATAATGTCAGTAGTAGCTTGCATTCCAGAAAGATCTGGCAAGTCACTCATTGCATCTTGTTTTGCTACGGAAATATCTAAGTCATGAATTGCCACGGGTGTGCTGCAAGGCCTGTCAGTGACCAATGCTGGAAGGTAATCATTTTCAGAGAAAACTTGAGAATTTAGCGGCCAAATTCCTGTTATAACAAACGCTTTCTCAACGATAATCAGTATCAGTATCTAAATAGAAAACAATGATTAGTAGAACTCGTTAGCCAAATAATTTTGTATACTACAATAAAACAATAAAAATACGTACCTTCCATACAAAGAACAAAAAACGAATTAAAACTAAACACAAACGTCTTCAAAACTGAATAAGAAAAAAGCTACGAAAGGTCAGCAATTCAAAGAGGTCAGTCAGTCAAGTCAAAAAGTGTAGCAATTAGAACTATATTTACTTTTTTTGCCATGACGGTGTTTCTAGTTCTAGGTCTAGTGTTAGTTCTAGTTTTAGTGCAATAAAAATATACAACATAGCGTGCAACATCATGTTTGGACTCATTTTAATGTTTTTTTTTAATCATAAAAGAACACCATGAAGTTGTCCATTTGTCTATTATATGATAACTAACTTCAGATTTAAAATGTCAACCTCAATTTTGACATATTTGTAATCTTCATTAAATAGCCTTTAAAATGAGTACAAACACGACATATTTATCTTCAATATTAATGAAGTTATGATCAACTTCCGGTTAAAAATGTCAACGTCAATTTTGACATATGTATTTGTAATTGTCGTGAAAAATCCTTTAAAATGAGCCCAAACATGATACGTTTAATTCCAATATTAGTCGAGATATAAGCAACTTCCGGTTTGAAATGTCAACATCATTTTGACAAATTCTTAATTTTTATAAAATGTCTTAAAATTTATCACAAAAATACAATAAAAAAATTAAAAATTAAGGTTCGTATTAATATTTAAAAATTAAATTGCTATCTTCATTGTTGCTAACTTCGGGTTTAACGTTTTTTTATTCAAACTTTTTTGTTTTTTAAGATAAGTGCGTTGTCTTTGGACTCATTTTAAAGATTTTTTAATGAAGATGACAAATATGTCAAAATTGACGTTGACATTTCAAACCGGAAGTGATTGTATTTCCATTAATATTAAAGTTAAATATGTCGAGTTTGGACTCATTTTAAAGGATTTTTTATGAAGTTGACAAATATGTCAAAATTAAAAGTTGAAAGTTCGAACTTTTTGGTTTTTTGAGATAAATGCGTCAAGTTTGGACTCATATTAAAATTAAAGTTAACATTGACAACTGAAAGTTTTTTTCACGACTAAACCCGACTGTTTCTAGTTCTAGGTCTTGTGTTAGTTCTAGTGATAGTGTAAAGCTAGAACTAACACTAACACTCTTCAGACTTTTCTAAGTTCTTGTTTAAGACGCTCGGCTAAATCTAAAACTTACCTTGCTTATAATTTCATCCATTTACCCATTTTGAATTAAACACAACCTTTAAATCCAATTAATTATGTGTTTTTCACTAAAAAAACTTAAATTCAACGTCAATTTTGACAAGCAACTGCAATATTTGGATCTTAATCACCATGGTAACCGAGTCAAATTGGATAACCTTAAAATAATAAAATTTTATTCCGATATTTTTAACAATTCTAACTTAATTTCTATTAGTTTTAAAACAATTCGAATTCTTTACGATTATCTCGCATTCATAACAAATTCGCCAATTGTAGTTAATTTAAATCGATTCTAATTAAGAGAAATAAATTAAAAATATCTCTTTTTGATTTAATCCACTTACCTTGTTTATAACACCCTAGATAAACCAATTTTGAGTTAAATACAGATTTCTAAACCAATTAAATAAGACTTTTCCCTTAAAAAAAAACGTAAATTCAATTTCAATTTTGACAAGCACCTGCCATATTTGAATCTTAATCACCATGGTAACCGAATCAAGTTGGATAACCTAACAATAATAAAATTATAACCGTTAATATTTCGCTTTATATTTTAATATTTTTTTTAAATTTTATTTTCTTTTTTTTTATATTTTTGTATATTACTTCTTAAGTGAAGTACAATGCATAAATAAAAACATAGAAATGTCAATTCTTCCAATGACGTCACAGCAAGGCCTTTGCGGGGGGATACGTTCATAACAACAGCGTTCGTATGGAGTTACCGAAAGTACAGAATATAAATTAAATTGTAAGTAAGATAGTTTAAAAATTTTTTCAATTTCCTCGTTAAATTGTATTAAAAATCGAATTAAACCAAATAAAATTTAATCACTTTTAATATATAGTTCCGTACATGATTCATAGATGCCACTCATTCATTCAATTTATCTAAAAATTAGCTGTCAATCCGCCATTTTGATTTGTGATCGGCTTGTCAAGTGTCAACATACGCTTTTCATAAAAAATCGTTTTTATCCCTTTAAAACGGTTTAAAATCGATTACTTGAAACTTAAATCGACTTAGAATTCTTTTCAGGTAAGTACTCATTATTTATTTTTGCGTTTAAACCGCACCCAACTCAAATTTATCGATCTAATTTTATAACATAAATTATAAAATTATTTATTTTATGAATATTTTAGGGTGTAAAGAAGAAAGAATAAATGGGTTCATCTAGGCATCGTGATAGAAGTCGCGGTCGCGATAAAGACCGTGATAAAGACCGCGATAAAGATCGTGATAGAGACCGTGATCGAAGGGATAGAAAAAGGAGTCGTGATCGAGACCGTGATCGTTCACATCGTGATAGGGATAGAGATCGCGAAAGGGACCGTGATAGACGTGAAAGAGAACGCGAAAGAAGGAGTCGTAGTCGAAGCCGAGGTGGTGGAGGCGGTGAAGGAGGAAGTGGGGTTGTTATTCCAGGGGGGAGTGTTATTAACAACATTGGTCTTGCTGGTATTGGAATTCCTGTAAGTGTCGCGCTTGAAAAGCATCTTCCACTTAAAGAAAAGACTCCTGAGCAAGATGGAGAAAAGTTATTGGCTGAAACGTTGGCTACTTTGGCGAATTTTGCTGCAACTAGGCAATATACAACTTTTAACACTACAATACATAAAATTGAGCATGAGGATGCTCATGATAATTGTGGGTTATTAAGATTTTTGTTGTAATTGATTTAATTAGGTTATGTTTTAGCCGGTATGGGAAGTGATGATTTGCGATCTAAAAAAAGGAGATCTCGTTGGGGTGGAAGTGAACATGATAAAATATTTATTCCTGGGATGCCAACAATTTTGCCTCAAAATCTTAATAAAGATCAGGAACAAGCATATTTACGTAAGTTAATTTATCATATGGTATTGATTTTTTAAATAAAATGTAAATTAAATAAAATTAATTAAATAATAACAAAAAATTAATGAGGTAAGTTTAGCTGCAATGGAAAAAAAAAGATTTATATTATTTTCTTTTAGCAAATTGAATTTAACTTAATATTTGAGTAATAATTGTGTTTTTGTTATATTTTTTGTTGTACAATGATTTCTAACTGTTGGGCTTTGGCCCTATTCTAACCCGCTTTATTACAGTTCAACTCCAAATTGAAGAGGTGAGCCGCAAACTGCGATCTGGGGACCTTGGAATTCCGCCCAATCCTGAAGAAAGGTTCGACACACCCCAACAATCTACAACTTCGTTTGTAACCGACCAAAAAAAAATTATAATAATACCAGCTCCTCCCCGAGTTTTTCGAAAACGACAAAAATCCGATGTTAAACGCCGCCACACGACGACTTCTTTTGCTTATTTCACAAGTAGAATTGACCCAAATTGACGGAGGAATTCTTTAAGATTTACTTTTTATTATGTGAATTAGAAAACTCCGTTGATTTTGTGATCAATAATTTTTTTAATCTAATTAATCACTTTTTTTAATCTTTATTATTTTTTAATTTATTTTTATGGGTGATTAGAAATGAATTAATCTAACAAGGGAATTCGATTTCATTGCAATTTGGTACAGTGATAGTTTGGGCCAAAATAAAGCCATTTAATCATCACCTGCAAAGATATGGGGTGAAATATCTAACCTCTTTCTATATGTAATAATAATCTATACAGGGTGGTTCAGTTTTTAATCTGGACATAGTACTTGCTAAAATAACACAAGTTTTTTTGTATAAACATAGGGTCGCAATTCTTTTTTTGTTTTCGAGCTATGAACTGTCAAAGTTGAGCCAAAAATTTACATTTCATCGTTTATTTCGGGTATGAGTAACCCATAGAATTTGAGATTTTGTATGTATGTACTACTTTTTAATATCTTATTTTCAACCATACCTTAAACTTCCCTAGCGCCCTCTAAGGGGATGAAATTGACAACCCCTTTGATTTTTTTATAACAACTTCTTAACGCCATGGAATATTAACATAAAAAAATATGGGTTGTAAAGCTTATTCATTATTGGTACTTTTTTGTCTCTTTAGTTTTTTCCTTAAAGGTAATAGTTTTAGCATAAAAAAATAAAATATGCTACATTGTACTGTAAAGCGCTGCTATTATTAAAATAATTTTTTCTTTATAGGTGGCTATGGAAGTTGTGCACTTACTAGGATCTAGTACTAACTAAATAACACCAATTAATTGTGATTTTCATAAGAAAAACCATAAATAAGATTAATGCCTGTCTGAACAAATTGCGTTGTTTTAAACAATATTAAAAAATTGATACTCTTGCTTAATAAGCGTCAAAAATTATTAATAACCAGCAATAATTATGAGGATTCACTGTAAATGAAACTTACAAGTTCTCAGAGCCAACTTTTGGAATAATTTTGGCAAAACATAGCAGCATTTAGCAGTACATGGCACGATATTTTATTTTTTTACACGCAAACTATTAACTTTAAGAAAAATACTAAAGAGACAAAAAAGTACCAGTAAAGAATGAGCTTTACAACCCATATTTTTTTATGTTAATATTCCATAGCGTTAAAAAGTTGTTATAAAAAAATCAAGGGGGTGGTAAATTTCATCCCCTTAGAGGGCGCTGGGGAACTTTAAGGTATGGTTGAAAATAAAATATTAACCAGTAGTACATACATACAAAATTTCAAATTCTATGGGTTACTCATACCCGAAATAAAAGATAAAATGTAAATTTTTTTCTCAACTTTGATTGCTCATAGCTCAAAAAAAAGAGTTGTGACCCTATGTTTATATAAAAAACTTGTGTTATTTTGGCAAGTACTACATCCTAGTAAAGTTTCCCGATTATAAACTGAACCACCCTGTATACAGTGTGAGTTATTAATTAGTATCCTGGCGGTCGATAGTTACTAAACCGTTTGAAAAACAAAAAAATATTTTATACAAAAGTTGTTTGACTCATCACTTTCTATTACGTAAAATTATTTTCACTTATACAGGTTCCATTTAAGCGTAACGAAGAATACGTCAATTTGTTTTAATGGAACACCCTGTTTATTTTATCATATTATGAATACAACTAAATTTGTTTATACAAACCTATCTGTTACTAATTCACAACGTTCATAGTTCCTGAGATATACAATTGTTCTTCCAAAATGTGCCCATTACAGGATTTTTTTAAAAACGATGTAAAAACGACATTTTTTCCAATTTTGTCTTGAAACTACGTCAGATAATAGTTAAAGCCTGTAGGTAGATGATAGTATTCAAAGATATTAGATACACTATACAGGCTGTTTATAAAGCTTAGTTACTTTTGATGTTTTTCAAATGGCTTTTTCTTAAGTTTTTTAAATGGAACAGCCTGTATATTGTGTGCTAGTTGAATTGGTCATCAAGTTCCCTTTAATTCATGATAAGTATGTTATATGTCTAACTTTAATAGTTTTCCTGATATTTCAAACTTAAAGAAAAATATGTAATATGTCATTATTGTACCTAAAAAAGTGACTGAATGCCTTTTTTTGTCACTTTTCTTTTGTTTTTTCATTTTCATTTGTCTGTCATTTGTAAATCAGTAATATTATATTAAAATACAATTAAATGGCAGAACAATAAATCCCTTTTTTAATTACTAAATTATATTTGGAGGAATTGCAGCAACAAACTATTACATTATTATTATTAAACAATTACTGAACGTTGCTCAACAAGTAGGTATTAATTTAATTAATATTTAGAAGTTGTTCAATATGCCGCCCATTTTCTCTTCTACAAGCATTAATGCGCTATATAAAGGACCTTGAGGTATCTCTTAACATGTGCGTCTTATTTTCTCTAAAGTCGCAAATTACATGGAATATAGAATAATTCTATATTTTAACCAAGTCGCATTAAAATTTGGTATATGGCAGCAAAATTATTTTACATTATAAAATATTAACCAAATAATAAAAAGAAAAACAAAAAAATGATAAAAATAGACAGAATATAATATTAAGTACAATAACGCATATTTTATTACACATTACTCTTTAAATTCTAAATATCAGGAAAAGTACTAAAGTAAGATATATGACATACTTATCATTAATTAAAGCTAACTTGACGGGTAATTCAACCAGTACACAATATACAGGATGTTCCATTTAAAAAAACCTATGAAAAAGCCATTTGAAAAACATCAAAAGTAACTAAGCTTTATGAACACGCTGTATAGCGTACCTAATATCTTTGGATACTATCATTTAGTTACTGGTTTTGACTATTATTTGACATAGTTTCAAGGTAAAATTAGAAAAAATGCCGTTTTTCCAAAGTTTTTAAAAAGATCCTGCAATGGACATATTTTGGAAAAAAGATTGAATATCTCAGGAACTATGAATGCTATGAGTTAGTAACATATATGATTGTATAAACAAATTTAATTCTATTCATAATATGATAAAATATACAGGGAGTTCAATTTAAAAAAATCTACTAGATACTAATAACTCACGCCATATAATATTTTGAAGAAATTAGTAAATTAGTTGAAAATTAAGATTTATGCAGTAAAATAAGCCCTATACGACTTTTAGCGGTGGATTTTGGTACAATTTAACGCAATGATTTCATTATATCATCCATGTTCAATGTGGTTGGGTATTATCATTATTCTTAAGAGTTTTCCTAGAGGTTTCATTTTATATTTTGCAACATTTTTAAACTGACAATATAAAGTCGACATTAGGGGCCACTTTCATTACACCTTACACTGGGCTGAATTCCGATTCTAGCTGGACAAAATTATTTTATGGACTTAACAAGGGCTAGAAGGGTAGAAAAAGTAGGTGTTTTAGTTTTCAGAAGATTAACTGAGTTTTCACATATTTTTTAGGGAAAAATTAGTATAAAATAAAATGCAAAGATAAAATAAATACTAATTTAGTTTCTAGTTAAAAGAAGAACTATTTTTATAAAAATTCAAAATACGAATCGTCTTCTGATTCGCTTGGAGAATCCTTCTCCGTTTCGCTATGCTGCTCATCAACTATATCCTCTTCCACTGAATCCGTGATCAGCTCCCTTGCTTCAGAACTCAGCTCCTTCAATGGGACTTTCTGGAACGATCTAAGGCCTGTAATAACAGGATCCGATGATATTAAAAGCATGTGAACTAAGTCTTTTATATATGAGGACTTTCTAATGTGTTGGGCTCTGAATCGCCTCATGTACTTATTCCTTGCCTCCTCTGAACGCTGTCCTAAAGAGCTTTTATGTAGACTGGGAGGCATCCTGTACCAGCCATATAGCTCCACAAACAGTTTAGTAGTATTATAGGTAAATGTGTTTTTTTTTTCTTGTCATTGTCTTTGTGAACAATTTGAGGAAGTTGTTTTATCAACTCCTGTAGCTGCAGCGGCTTCATCTGCATGCTTAAAAAATCGGCAGGACACGTTCCCAGTGTTGGACATCCCACTTCCTTGAACCACTTTGTCCACTTTTACAGTGTGTGCTGGAAGGCTTCCTGTATCAACCATCAATGACCTCAAAAACCCCCCATATCAAGCTTTGCGTAACCTATATCTCTATATTGTATCCGCCATCTTGATTTTTGAAAAGTTTTTAACTCTGACTCCAGATTTGTAATCAGCACCCCAAAAGATCCCACCAAAACCAAGTTTTATGAAAAAAATTAAAATGAAAAGGGTTATCAACTCAATTGCATTTCTGTGACGTAATTGCTGGAAGCTTTATGAAAGTTTGTTCACAATGATATTAATTGTTTGGAAAACTGTCCTTTAGCACTTTCTGAACGCAATTTCGGGGCAAAAAAGAAGAATGTGTGAAATGAATACAATTTTGGATGAATTCATTTTGAAGAATAATAAAATATGTTAATTAAAAGAAGATTGCAGATTTGTTTCTGATCGTATCTTCACTTATATCCCAGATACCTTAAATGAATTAAAAACTTAAGATATGGAGGTGAGTTGACATACTAGATTAATCCTTCTAAATCAATGTCAGCATCTTGGTGAAATTATTATACCTTCAAAGGTGCAGGCAATTACCACACTCTTCATGAAAAGGACGTGAAGAGTTGAATCATACCGCAGCCATTAGTGTGTCTTGAACGCAAGTAGAATGGATCATTTTTGAACAAAATTATTCTAACTGATGAGGTTCACTTTCATTTGCCTGGTTATGATGTCAACAAGCTAAATTGTCTGACTTGAAGCTCTGAAAACCTAAGACAGGTTACTACTATAAATGATTTTTTTATCCCGAAATTGATGCTATGGATGTGGATGACGTGTATTATCAACAAGTTGGTGGAACATGCCACACTGTTCCTGAACGATTACTATATTGCGTACAAATTTTTCTGTACGTGTAATTTCTCGAATTGGAGACATCAATAATTGATACATGCCAACGTTCCAGCAACGTGAAATTGGGCAACAATTATGTGAAAGCGTGATGAAAAATTTTATTAAAAGAATACCAAGGCCGTACTTGGGACAAAAATAAAAATATCTGCTTTTCACACAAATACTGTTTTTCTCTTAATTTAAAATGAAATCTCTAGTTGGAAGACCCTGTATTTGAATAACACAAAAATTAAAATATATATATATATGTAGCCTATAGCCGTATCTCGCAACTTCTCTTCATAGTTTTCGTCCTCGTGATCGCCTTGGACGTTTTCCATTTGGCGGTTGAACATTCTTCATCTATTGAACATGTCCGAACCATCGTAGCCTCCTTACTTATATAGCTTCCAGTGTGCTAATCTGTATTCCCATTTCCTTTACGATATCGGTATTCCATAGTCGATCCATCCTTATTTTCTGGCATCATCTCCTCCAGTAGTCCAACAACGGCGTTTTTACTTGATTCGCTTTTTATGGATCTATTTTTCATGGTCCATAGTTCGGATCCATACGTGCCTATACTTTCCACTATCATCTTATATATTCGAATTTTATTTCGATTTATTTGTTGATTCCATAGAACATCATTTCCAAAGCATATATTCTGCGCCCATTTCGTCTTCTGCCAATATAACTTTTTGTCTTCCGCAAAGTGAAGGATAAACAGTTTCATAGTCTATTTGGATCCCCATATTTTGACATTTTTTCCGCCATTTTGTTACAACTTGATTTATATATATATATTGAATAACGTAGAGGCGATACTGCATTTTTGTTTGAGACCTTCAGATATTGTTTCCACTTTTATAACAGCTGTTATATTTTGATACAGCCTTTTAACTGCATTTATATAGATACTTTGTTTCTTCATAGTACTCTATGAGCTACTCTATGTCTTGAAATACTTTTTCCATTCTCTGCTAAATAATCTTTCTAAACAACTTTTATTTATTAGCACATATAAAAAATACGTAAATCTTATTTTGTCCCATATTGTTGTACCAAATTGCAACGAAATCAATAAGGAACAATTTTGATACTTCCCTTGTAAGATATAATAATAATAGTGATTGAAAAAATTCATTTGTGGTCGCTTAATATTAAAAAATTATTTTGAAATAGCTTAGGATTTGAACGAAAAATACACAAAGAATTATACAAATTAAATATAAAAGAAAACGCAGGATCATAACAAAAAAAAATAATAATAATACACTTTTTAATAATATAGAACGTTTACTTTCAGCTACATTAATAATTAAAATTTTTGTTACAGCGTTAACAAAAACATCTTATCTTTTAGATCTCTACAAAATACGTTCTAATTAATCAAATTTTCTTTTTTTTAATTAATCGAATTTCTTTCTCCTTAGGGTTCGTCCAAAAATATTTAGACTCAATCTTTAAAAAAAAAATACATTACTTTTATTATTTCTTTTTAATACACCATTTAATCGTTTATTTAAGTTTAAAATTTAAGGTTACAGTTTGTCTCGCGTCCCTAAATATTGACTTTTCTTGGTAAAAAGATATCATTTAAAAAAATGGGGACGGGGACTTTTCAGAATGCGTTAACTAAATTCGTTCTTTTCCTACAGATCACCATCTCCGGAGCCCATCTACAGCAGCGATGGTAAACGTTTAAATACGCGCGAATTTCGCACCCGGAGAAAATTAGAGGAAGATCGGCACGCTTTAGTTTTGAAAATGCAAAATATTAATCCCGAATTTAAACCCCCCGTTGATTACAAGTACATTTAAATCACATTTTAAAATTTTACTTTTTAACAATTTTATTAATTTAGACCTCCTGTTATCCGCGTGAGCGATAAGGTTATGATTCCACAAGAAGAACATCCCGAGATTAATTTTGTAGGGTTATTAATTGGCCCAAGAGGAAACACTTTAAAAAGTATGTAATAAATAAATAGTTTATTTCATGTATTAATTATGTTTATGTAGCAATGGAAAAAGAAACGGGAGCTAAAATAATTATCCGTGGAAAAGGGAGCGTTAAAGAAGGAAAGGTTGGGAGGAAAGATGGGCAACCTCTTCCTGGTGAAGATGAACCTCTACATGCTTATATAACAGCAACGAATCCTGAGTGTGTTAAAAAAGCCGTTGAGAGAGTAAGTTAATAATAATAAATTCATTGCAAAAACTAACAAAAATATTTCTTAATTAAGCCGAGGTCGCTTGCGGGCGAGGCGCTACATCGATGCCATATTAACACAAAACTACCCCATTTTCAAGGATATATCTTCTAATTAAACCGAGGCGCTACATCAATGCCGGTTCAATACAAAAGTACACAGTTTTAAAAGATATATTTTCTTATTAATCCGAGGTCGCTTGCGGGCGAGGCGCTACATCAATGCCATTTTGATACAAAAGTAACCCATTTTCAAAAATATATACACTAATTACGCCGAGGTCGCTTGCGGGCGAGGCGATACATCGATGCCATATTGATACAAAACTACCCTATTTTCTGGGATATATCTTCTAATTAAGCGGAGCCACTACATCATTGCCGTTTCAATACGAAAGTACACACTTTTAAAAGATATATTTTCTTATTAAGCCGAGGTCGCTTGCGGGCGAGGCTCTATATCAAGGTCATATTGATAAGAAGCTACACCACTTTCAAGGACATATCCCCCGATTAAGCCGAGGTCGCTTGCGGACGAGGCACTACATCGATATCATGTGGATACAAAACTACCCCATTTTCAAAAATATATACACTAATTACGCCGAGGTCGCTTGCGGGCGAGGCGCTACATCGATGCCATATTGATACAAAACTACCCCATTTTTGTGGGATATATTTTCTAAGTAAGCCGAGATCGCTTGCGGGCGAGGCGGTACATAAATGCCATGTTGATACAAAACTACTTCATTTTCAAGGATATATCTTCTTAATTAAGCGGAGCCACTACATCATTGCCGTTTCAATATGAAAGTACACACTTTTAAAAGATATATTTTCTTATTAAGCCGAGTTCGCTTGCGGGCGAGGCTCTATATCAAGGTCATATTGATAAGAAGCTACACCACTTTCAAGGACATATCCCCCGATTAAGCCGAGGCCGTTTGCGGGCGAGGCGCTACATCGATGCCATGTTGATACAAAACTACCCCATTTTCAAGGATATACTTTCTAATTAAGCCGAGGCGCTACATTAATGCCATGTCAATACAAAAGTACACACTTTTAAAAGATATATTTGTTTATTAAGCTGAGGTCGCTTGCGGGCAAGGCGAAACATCATTGCCATTTTGATATAAAACTACCACATTTTCAATGATACATACACTAATTACGCCGAGGTCTCTTGCGGGCGAGGCGCTACATCGATGCCATATTGATACAAAACTACCCATTTTTCAGAGATATATTTTCTTATTAAGAAGAGGTCGCTTGCGGGCGAAGCGTTACATCAATGACATTTTGATACGAAACTACCCCATTTTCAAGAATATATCTTCTAAGTAAGCCGAGGCGATATACAGTGGTACCTCGACATACGAGTATAATTCGTTCCGTAACCTTGCTCATATCTCAAAGCAATTTTCCCCATTAAAATTACATATGTAATTGAAATGCCATTAATTCGTTCCAGCTCCCAAAACACCACCTCAGTTGTTTTTGTTAAGTGTTTTTGAATAAGAAATGTATTTATAAGAAACATTTATTTATAAATAACAAATACATATAATAATAGAAAAAGTGAAGTGCTTACGGAAGCGTTTAATTTTCGACATTGGTCTTGGCTTTTTTTGTCACGCTTTGCTCATTTTCACCTGCAGATTGTTTAAAAAAACTGTCCAAGGAGGTTTGTTTCTTCCTCCCTTTCAGGATATTGCGGAAATGAGTTAGGCAAGTTTCGTTGAACAATTCCGATGCATGACCAGTTGCAACTTTTTCGGGGTGATTTTTATCCACGAACTTTCTCCCACATTCCCAAGATCTCCTTTATATCTCTTGGAGAGATAACCTCCTCCATCTCTGGCTCCTCTTCAAAACTAATTTTTCGTTCAACCACCGTATCAACCATCGTGTAACTCCTCCATCCACCTCCAGACGCATAGATTTTTCCAGAGAAACAATATCCTCTACCACTAACACTTCGGGTTCCAATCCTTCGAAGGCCCTTTCAGCTACAGCCTCAAGCCACAGCTTCTTCCATGCAGAGGTTAAGGTCCTCGTTGTAACACCTAGCTAGGCCTGATCAATAATTCTTCGGCATATCACGATGTTAAAGTGGTCTTTCCAGAACTCTCGAAGGGTTAGGTTTGTGTTCTCCGTCACCACAAAGCAGCGCCGAAAAATGTGCTTGACGTACAACTTCTTAAAATTAGAAATCACCTGCTGATCCATGGGCTGCAGGATACCAGTGGTGTTGAGTGGTAGGTAGAGAATCTTAATAAACTGGAACGCTTTGAGTAAATCATCTTCGAGATTTGATGGGTGAGCAGGGGCATTGTCGAGGACGAGAAGGGCTTGCGTGGGTAGGTTGTTTTCCTGTAGATATTTTTTAACAGAAGAGCCAAACACCAGGTTTATCCACTCCAGAAAGAATTTCCTGTTGACCCACGCCTTCGGATTTGCCCTCCACATAACTTGCAGTTTTTCTTTTAAAATCTTATGTGACTTAAAGGCTCTGGGATTTTCCGAATGGTATAGTAGCAAAGGCTTAATTTTGCAGTCGCAAAGTGTTAGAGTTAATCTATCCTTCATGGGTTTGTGACCTGGCATCGTCTTCTCCTCTGCCGTTATGTAAGTCCTATTCGGCATCCTTTTCCAGAAAATCCCTGTTTCGTCACAGTTGAAGACTTGCTGGGGGATGTATCCTTTGGCTTCTATCAGTTCGGAAAGCGTTTTGATTCAAGCTTTAATTCAATAGACATCATTTTCTTCTTCGGACCCATGGTTACAAAAAGAAATGTGATAATGTTTTGTAAATGTACAAAAAGCAAAAAAACGCGAACCCAACTTATCAAAAATGTCTAGTCTGAGGTGGGAGAAACTGTTAGATCAAGCTGTTCGAAAAAATTAACTTTTTTAAAACATTGCTTTAATTTATATATCTTCAGAACATTTTCCAGAGCTACCAAAAATGTTGAACGAACAGATGTCATACCCAGTGAGTTATTCAATCCACCCACTGGGCTTCTCAGGTGGTGATCAATTAATCTTTCATTGCTCAATTGAATCATGATTGGAACCATGTGCTCTGTCTTCTCTTGGTTAACAGTCAGCCCGACTATCTTTGCAACTTGTTCTAATGCAATGAGGCATTCCTCTCATCAGGGCAAGAATTATACAGGAATGCAGCGTTCTACTAAAAGGATCTTTTATAATAAAATGTATTTGAGCAGGTATGGTTATGATATGATGCATTAGCAAGTCTTGGAAAAGAAATAAACAGCTGAGTGTCATCTACATACATATGAGAATTATATGTTTAAAACATGAAGGTGCCTATCTGATCCGAACATTGGCAAATGTGACAGCAGCTCGAAACAATTTTCTTAAGTTTTCCTAAACTAAGTTCTAAGATTCTTCAGCCACGAGATTCTTTTTCTGCCGATTCCTGTTTTTCCTTTGACTTTTCCTTGGATTATCTAATGGATCAGAGAATATTGGTATTGACTTCTCACGACATATGAGCTATCCATGGTGTTTTGAGCATCCACCTATACAGCCACATCTCCAAGGCTTCCAGTTTTTTAGTTGTGGCTTCTGTCAAAGTACACGATTCGAATATATCTGCCATCACCATAGTATCATCTGCATATTTAATATTATTTATTTTGACTCCGTTCAAGAGAATACCATAGAAGCCTCATGCACATAGTCTGATTCCAGTAGAAGGTTTGAATTAGTCTAAGGTCATCGTCATCCAAATTGGCATCTTCAGCCACAACGGACACACTAATCATATCGTTAAACACTAACAATATTACATTATATTATTTCTTGAATAATTTTTTTTCTATTTATTTTTATTAGATTAAAGAAGTTATAAGACAAGGAGTTGAAGTCCCAGAGAATCAAAACGATTTACGTCGCATGCAACTACGCGAATTGGCTCAATTAAACGGGACTTTGCGTGAAAACGATGGTTTGAGATGTAACAATTGTGGCGCAACCGATCATAAATCATGGCTGGTACGTATTATTCCCTTAAATAAATTGATTTAAAATTAATCCTATGAAATGTAGTGCCCTGATAAACCGAATGTAACCAACAACATAGTCTGTTCGAGTTGTGGGGCTGCAGGGCACATCGCCCGAGATTGTCGCCAAAAACGTCCTGGTTTGGGCGGTCCTGCAATGATGGGTGACAAAGCTAAAATCGATGAGGAATACATGTCTTTAATGGCGGAGTTGGGTGAAGGTCCCCCACCGGAATTTTTAAAAGGAAATGGGGCTCCCAATAATACTAATCAACGCAAACCGGGTATAAACATGTTTGATCCGCAAGTCGCGCCTCGTCCTTTGATGCCACCACCAATGGCGAATGCGATGATGCCGAATATGCCTAATGGAGGCATGGGGGGGATGCCCCCACCGCCATGGGCAGGTGGAATGCCTTGGCAACCTGGTCCACCGGGGATAATGCCACCACCTCCACCTCCGGGAGCTTCAAGTCCCCCGCAAATGATGCCTTGGATGGCAAATAATCAACCACCTCCTCCAGGAGCTGGTGCAAACACTTTACCACCACCACCTGGTATGGGAAGTATGCAACCACCGTGGCAAACACCGTTCCAATGGCCCCCTAATAATTGTACTCCGCCGCCACCACCCGGAATTGATATGACCAGTTTGTTGACGGCTCCCCCGCCGCCACCTCCAACTTCTACATAAATTACATAAACTAAAAATAGATATTAATTTGGAGGGAATTCAAAGAAAATGTTAAAAAATTAATAAAAGGATAAGATGAATTAAAATTTCTTCTTTGTTAATGTGAATTAATTAATATTTCTGTGTAGGGATTTAGTAGAAGTGAATTATTTTATTGTAATAATGATATAAACAAAGATATGTTGAAAAACTTTTGTAGAATTTGATGATTAAATAAAAGATATAACCTCTTTATATACCTTTAGATACCACCAATAGAAAATAATGAACTTAATCGATATATTTCACAGTATCAACAAATAATAGGAATACCGCAATATGTACTACCAATTTTATCAACAACGCAGCATTCCAGTAGAAACCACAATGCTTCCCAAACAATCTCAGCACCACCAGCGCGGAATACTTCAAGACTCTCATTGAGCAGTTGGACATCAAGAACACTCAATGCTAAACTTCAAATAAAAAAATGACTAAAGAAATAAAATCAGCTCTCTTAAATACTAAGTCTAACTTTCTGCTCGAATCCATTATGGCAACTGTAAGTTTGGATGATAGTCAGTGGTCATAATTTGGTTTCTACGTTATGTCAGTTTTATAGAGTGGACCCATGTTATTTTCAGGACGACAACGCAATGTTGCGAGGTTCACCATTGATTGGTACGGTGACAAGCCGGTTTTCAAGCCTGGAAGAAAATGCTAGCAACCATCACAAGGACTTGCAAAAAGCATGCCAAGAAAGGTTGAAGCTGAGATTGCTGCACGTAGAATTTGCCAACTGCTGAATATGAATAAAATGAATATCTCTTTTTATTACATGTGTTCAAATAGATTACGGCATCTGTTGTTTGGAATACCAAAAGGCTTTTGACTACGTCAACTGGAAAATGCTGTGGAAGGTTCTTTGCGAAATGACAGTGCCTGAACACCTAATTATGCCCATAAAAAACCTCTATGACAACAACATGTTCACAGTGAGGATACAAAACCGACACTCATTGCCATTTAAAACTGTTAGAGGTGTTCACTACATTCTCCAGATCTTTTCAACATCTAAGGAAAATAAATAATTAGAAAGGCATTGGACGCATGGAATGGAGGAATCCCAACGACGCAGATAATACAACTTTGATAGCTGCATTAGAAGAGGAAATGGTGGATTGTCTAAACCGAGTTGAGACTGAAAGTAATAATGTGGCCTTAATATTAATGCAGAGAAAATCAAAATTATGATCGTCGATCATTCTGATGTTCTGTAACTACACAGATTTCAAATCGACGACCAGATCATGTACCTAAGCTCATATATTGACACAGGTTCAATATATGTGAGAATAGGACTGGCTAAAAGTTCAATGATGTGGAAAGACCGCTATCCCTAATTGTACTAAAATGGGGCTAATTGAATCGCTGATCTTCTGCATTTTCCGATATGGGGCTGAAACGTGGACAAACAATTAAAGCAGCAGACAGAAAAAGAATGATGCGTTTCGCAGATAAAAGGAATTGACCCTTACAGAACATCCAGAATACACTATCTTCTATTTGTGTTACGAATATCCTGAGGTTTATTGGACACATGACACTAAGAGATGATAACAATATGGAGAGGTTGATAGTATTAGGAAACATACAGAGACGAAGGTCTAGCTAGAGAACGCTCACCAACCCGATGAACAGACCAGATTCCGAAACTAAGTTTTACTATTCTGTAAATAAGGTTCGGAACTAAAGTCAACGACACAAATTGCTAATGATCACAATTTTCAGTAATGAGAGAACGAGTAGAAAGAAGTTCAAATAGTATGTAGTGGAATACTGCAAATTCCTGGTTTGATGTGATTTAGCCACTTCCTGCGCAATCCTAAAATTTTTATAGTTGCGCAATCCGAAACATAAAGTCAGGTGGAGACTGTGTGTATAGGAGGGGCGTGGATGGATAGGTCGGGTGACCATGTCCAGTAAGGGCATTCAGCTGATGACAGGACATGGTCCATTAAATGTATACTTGAGAAGATTTCGGCTGAAGGAAACGAACGGGATATGTGTGAGTGAGGACACCATACAGCATATCGTGCAGGAGTGTATCAATGAGTGAATCAGGAGGAAGATAAAGGAGAGTTGAATGGAATTATGGTTAATTTTAACCGGTTGGCAGCAGGAGTTGTCTTTGATTATGATGGGGAGTTTGTGCAAGGGGCGGAAACAAATGGAATTCTTTATGGGAGCTCAATGATCGATGCGACAGTGGTATTATATGGAGGTATATGGTCTTAATGTTAGTGCTTCTTAGCGTGTTGGCTGGCCATAGAGGGTGGATCTCCGATCTAGTGCAGGACTCTTACTCAGAGATGACATGTATGTTAAGATTTCGATTTTATTAAACATTTCAATTCAACAGCAATAAACATCTTTAATATTAAACAGAATAACTGAAATCGATGTTCCCCGATCGCCGTCCTATACTAGAGTAGCGCCACAGAATAACCAGAAAGGATACTGGGAGTATCCCGCCAAATCTGATTTTTCTGCGCCTGTGTAAATACTTTATTACTCCATTTTACAAAAAAAAGCGTAGATTGCGTCAATTTAACAATAATTACATTGTAATAAAATATAAATATTAAATTGGAAAAACATGTCAATGATATACATCGGATTTTCCGTGACAATAGCTCTCAGTCTTCTCCGGAATCTTGGAACTGGCAGGATGCTTGTACCCTCCGAATTGTAATCTTGATACTCTGGTACAGAGCCGTCTTCTGAATCTTAGTAAGGTGCGTTTTTGGTGGCACCAGATAGCAGTTCACCTTCCCGCGTGTGTCTAGAGGATGTGATATTTCATATTTTTTGAAAAATTAAAAGTAATTCTTCCTAATCAATACGGCACATTCCAGAATATAAATTCCATACAAGGTAGGTATTTTATAATGTTTAATGTAACTTCTACAGCTATCAGTATTTTTTAGACCAAAGATTGCTCTTACACACCTCTTCTGTAGTATGAAGATTCTATCTATACCAACACCACGGCCCCAAAAGATAACTCCATATCTTAGCAAGGAATGAATAGGCATTTAATCCTGCTTCAATGCCAGCTGATTCTGAAATAATCCGAATAGCATATGAGAAATGACTGATCTTGCCAGCAAGGAAATCGATATGATTGGTCCAAGACAGTCTAGGATCCATTTTCCAATCCAGAAGCGAAATCTCTCCAACATTAGCAATTTCAGTATCCTGATACCTCGTCTTGATCTGGTTAGAAGATAAATGATATAGTTGACTTTGACCATGACCTGAATCATTCGCTTCCTAAACTATTCGTGCAAAAATTCTCTTGATTTGGCGGTTGAATATTTGCTCAATCATGAATAACCTCGTCAGTGAAGGGGATGTCTTTGAGGTCCGCCCATGAGAAGCGTTTTATAAATTTACGACATCCCTGAAGGCATCTCAAAGTGTGAGTCTTTTGCATCTTGATGCTACAAAACCCCAAACGATGTTTGGCTTCTTGATATTCAGCTTCTTAATCATTTTTCTAAGACTCCTGCAATTCTAGCAAATCTTGTCCCGAACACTCTTGAAAATGGTGGGAGTCACGGCAGTATTTCTCTCGATAATGACGTATTATGCATTGAATCAGTATTGAGTCACCCCGGCCTGACTCAGAATCATAATCGTGGCACTACGTCGGACATCATTACCTGAAAAAGGAAAAAATAATCCTTTGGATTTTTAGAGGAATCTTCAACTCGTCATATAACAAAAACGAATAAAAGACATTTGTGACACTCTGTATATGCTTACTCCACGGGTGGTATAGTCTCCAAAAGCATTTTTATGCATTTCGGCTCAATACGACTAATTGGTTAGCGCCCATCAAGCTGATTTGACATACCAGTTGGGAGATAGTTCCTATCTCTTCTGGCCTAACATTACTGCGTAGATCAAGCAGGATATTAGCATAATTTAGGCACCGTTGAGTGTTGGGTTGCGACTTTCGTCACCTGTTCACTCGTTTTGCTTGTTTTTGTAGTCTTCTTTTGCTACTTAGTACCATCTAAATCCAATGAGTTGAGGTTGGTCCTTGCATCAATTCATTTACTGGATTACACTCAAACCCAATCATTATACAGGTGTACAAAAAGTTAGCAACGAAGATGTTTGGAATCGGTATAAGCTCCGCCCATCCCTGTGACGTCAAGGCTTAGGTTGTGTATCCCATAACTTGGTCGTCGCTACATCAAATCTTTTTAAATAAAAGTTACAATATCTCGTTTAAAGCATTAAAACCTTATGGCATTTTGCAACACCTTGTCAAAAGGAATCCAAAAACCTTAAAATATACAGGGTGTCCCACGATGAACTGCGTCGATCGATATAGGAGAAACTATGAGTAGTATCTTTCTGAAAATTTGTAGGCGCACTTAAGTCGATATGCCCAACTCACCTAAAATATTTTCAAGACTGTCGCACTTCCGGTTATACCGGAAGTAGACAACAACTTCGTTATTTTAAATGGAACCACCTATATATTATTACATATTTAGATTCTACATCCGATTTTAATTAACTTTTACTTAAACATCTTATATAAAATTCTTACCCGTTTCTGAAATATTTACAAATTTATGTAAAAAAATTACCTATGCAGGCTTGTATGTTATGTGTATTTCTGCTAACACTGTTAAGTATTTGTTATATCTGATGAAAGGAATTTGAAGAAGAGACTATAGCTTAACTTTTGGTAGCTCATATGTTGTCCTACTACATACAGGGTGTTCAAAAAAAGCTGCCAAATATTTATATAAGAAAAAGCGAAAAACTCAAAAAAATTAAATGGAAACCATATATTTTTTTAATTGTATCTGAATCTACATTAAAAATAAAGGTAACTTTATGTAAGGTTCCCTATATCTAACTATCGCCGTTTCTTTGTAATTTTCGTTTTAAATAGTTTAAGATTATTCAAAACAATTTTGTGTCAAAGACGGCCATGACTACCGAGAAACAAATGAAGGTAACACAAATGTCATTATATCATTTATAAAATTCACTATGCCCGCACGTTTAAATTATACTAATGAAGATTATCTAAATCTATTTATTATTTATGGAGAATGTAACAAAGTTTTAACAAGAACATGCGATACATTTGCTGCTCGATATCCGCGAAAACGGAAACCATCCCCGAATACCTTAAAACAAATAATTCATAACTTCAACATTTTAAACAATCTCCCGAGAAACAAATGAAAGTATGACAAATTATGTATTAAGTAATTTGTATTTAACGTACTAAGTATGAGAAAACTAACTCTACTTTAATAAATGTTCAAAATTTTTCCCTTGAACTTCTAAACATTTTTCGCATCGCAAGATGACTTGTTGATGGGTAGCCTTTCTCAAAAAATCTGGATTTAAGTTATTGAACGCATTTCGCACTCTTTCCATACAATTTTCCTGAGTGGTCAATGTCGTGCTATAAACTTGATTTTTGATAGTACCCCATATAAAGTAATCTAAAACCGACAAATCAGGTGATCTAGGTGGCCACAAGAAAGGTCCATTATTAGCAATCCATTGGCCATTAAATATATTTTCGAGGAAATTGCTAACTAAATAGCCGTTGTGCGGAGGCGCTCCATCGTGTTGGTAAAAAATTTGTGTTAATTCAACCAGAGGTAAATTTTCTAAATAATTAGTATCAAAATTTCGTAAAATGTTTAAATATCTTTCGCCTAGAAAAAAATTAATTGCAGCAATTAAAATTAATTGTAAATTATTCGTTATACCAATTATTTCTTAATTATTTACCATTTAGATTTTCCTCATAAAAATGCAACGCTACTACTCTATCGTTTCTTATAGCGCAGTAGACATTGAATTGCCAGCTTCCTTGAAAATTACTCGTCGTAAATTTGTGAGGATTAGAATCACTCCAATAATGCGAATTATGTCTATTAAACAAACCATTTTTGGTAAATTTTGCCTCGTCAGACCAAATAATATTGTCCAAAAATTGATTATTTCCATAGTGTTCAGTTAAAATAAATTCACAAAAATTCACTCTTCTTGCGAAGTCAGTATCTCTTAAATGTTGCACTATGGAAATTGAATACGGATGATACTTATGTTTTTTCAAAATTCTGTGGATTGAGCTTTTGGAAAGTCCAGATTCTTTTGAAACTTGTCTGAGAGATATTGTCGGATATGCATTGAAATATCCTAAAACAGCGATTTCCACATTTTCATTATCTACAATAGGCTTCTTTTTGAGAACTTTTCCTTTTACGGAACCATGTGTCTTGAAGTTATAAATTATTTGTTTCAAGGTATTCGGGGATGGTTTCCGTTTTTGCGGATATCGAGCAGCAAATGTATCGCATGTTCTTGTTAAAACTTTGTTACATTCTCCATAGATAATAAATAGATTTAGATAATCTTCATTAGTATAATTTAAACGTGCGGGCATAGTGAATTTTATAAATGATATAATGACATTTGTGTTACCTTCATTTGTTTCTCGGTAGTCATGGCCGTCTTTGACACAAAATTGTTTTGAATAATCTTAAACTATTTAAAACGAAAATTACAAAGAAACGGCGATAGTTAGATATAGGGAACCTTACATAAAGTTACCTTTATTTTTAATGTAGATTCAGATACAATTAAAAAAATATATGGTTTCCATTTAATTTTTTTGAGTTTTTCGCTTTTTCTTATATAAATATTTGGCAGCTTTTTTTGAACACCCTGTATGTAGTAGGACAACATATGAGCTACCAAAAGTTAAGCTATAGTCTCTTCTTCAAATTCCTTTCATCAGATATAACAAATACTTAACAGTGTTAGCAGAAATACACATAACATACAAGCCTGCATAGGTAATTTTTTTACATAAATTTGTAAATATTTCAGAAACGGGTAAGAATTTTATATAAGATGTTTAAGTAAAAGTTAATTAAAATCGGACGTAGAATCTAAATATGTAATAATATATAGGTGGTTCCATTTAAAATAACGAAGTTGTTGTCTACTTCCGGTATAACCGGAAGTGCGACAATCTTGAAAATATTTTAGGTGAGTTGGGCATATCGACATAAGTGCACCTACAAATTTTCAGAAAGATACTACTCATGGTTTCTCCTATATCGATCGACCCAGTTCGTCGTGGGACATCCTGTACAGGGTGTTCTATTTAAAAAATACACCATGTCGTAACTCATCATTTTTATTTTATTTCTACGCCAAGATATGCGGAAAATAGTTTCAAATAACTTTTATTTAAAACTTTTTTATTACAAGTTGAAGTTTAGGTAGTAGAACCATTCCATACTTTTTGTACAGCCTGTATATATAATATAGAAACACAAAAAGAATAATTAATGAATAAAATTTTATTTTAGCATAACCCTTTTTCAATCGTACATCTTTCTTTCAGGTGGTTTCGCCAATTCGCAAATCCTACGCGATGGAGTGTATCTCATTGCTGCTTTTGATGTGGAAAACGGTTGATCCTTATCAGTAGAATGGTTCCAAGGAAACTTCCATGTACGCGGAGCGGATAATTCGTACTCTTTTTCAGTTGCTAAACAAAAACGAAAAATATTAAAAATTTCCAGAAAAAATTTCGACACAAAAAATTAACTTTGATGCTCCAAAGCTCCCAGCTTTACGGAACCCGGAACGATCTCCTCCTCTTTCATTAAGTATTTCCTTTTTGGTTTTGACATTTCTATGATTCTTTTTGTAGCATCGTAATTTAAAGCAGCTTCATTTACGCTATATTTTGGAGTGATCGGTCGCTTGTATTTTTGATTCTGATTTGTTGGTAATGATAAATTTTTTAATCGTTCCTTTGTTAATTCGTGCTTTAATTTTTTATAAGCTTCAATCATTTCGGCCTAAAAAAAAGTGTTTTTGGGACATATTCAGCAACACAATTTTATTTACCAATCCTGTTTGAGTGTTTTTAGATGATTTAGATGAGGTTGTACTAAAACGATCTTTAATTACATATTGTAAGTAACTGTCTTTGATATCACGCTAAAAATTAAACATAAAATAAATATTATTTTTTTTTATAGCAGAAATACTCCACCAATTCCCTTCTTAACGATTTCTTATGGGGCATACTCATTGAATTTTTTTTTGCTGAAATTTTTAGTGACAATAATGACAAATTGTAATTCTTTAATTTATTGATAGATGGTGGATTTAAATTTAAACGATGTCAAAATTATACGATAAGATTACTCAATAATCTTTTTTAATTAAAACCTCAACATTCTAGATAACACAAAAATAATCTATGATACATTACAGTTTAACTTGAAACTTATTTATAACAACTCTAAGTTAAGTTCATAATGAGTTTATTAAGTTATTTAGAAATTCCTTCGATTTTAATCGAAGTAGATCCCGGAATCGATGATGCTTTGGCTTTAATGGTGCTCTTCGCAGCTTGGAAGCTCAATTTGATAAACATTTTAGCCATAATTTGTTCGAATGGAAACACAAATTTAACACAAACTTGCGAAAATACGAAAAAAATTATGGATGCAAATCACATAACAGAAAATGACGTAATTATTTGAATATCTTTAAAATTTTTTTTCTGAATCATTTTTTTAGATCCCTCTTTTTTCTGGAGTAGCAACAGGAGTTGTTAATGAAACCCCCATAGATTTATGGTTTGGCGAAGACGGTTTTGGCGATATAAAACCACCAATTGAATCAAAACCACGAAGCGTTCTTCCCGGTTATAATTTAGCGTCTTATTTAAAAAAGAATAAAAATTACGACGAAATTTCTTATTTAAGTTTAGGGTCGTTAACATTTTTAATGACCTTTTTGTTACAACAACCCGAAGTTAATTTTAAGGATATTTGGATTATGGGGGGAAATAATTTAGGTTCTAATCACCAAGAATGGAATTTTTTTGTTGACCCGGAAGCCGTTCATTTCATTTTGAGGCAATCCGAAAAAATACCTTTAATTTTACTCATGTTTGAAAGTTGCGAAAGCGTCCAACCAACTTTGGGGTGGAGAAGAAATGTTTTAGGAGAAATAAACACTGAAATCGTCGATTTAATTAATAAGGCGGAAGCTTTTAAGCTTGAAGGAATTCCGGATGATCATATTTGGTACCAATACGATCCCGTTTTAGCGGTTGCTTTCGTTTATCCTGATGCGATAACGAGTTTGAAAGAAATTAGTGTTAATATAACCTTGGGAAATGATCCTAATACTCGATCGGTGCTTGTTGAAGGTGACTTCAAAGTTAAATTCGTCGAAAGTTTATTTTTGGAGCGGTATAAAACGATTTTGGAGGAATCTGCTAAAGTTTTAACTTGAAATATATTATAATTAAATATATTGTTTTTATCTTAGTGTTGCACTGTATCTTGGCCTGTTCCAGCATCTTCCGTTATTCCAATGTGTTTCTCCAATTGATGATGCCAAGAGTTTTGGTGTTGTCCTCCTCCTGGTTCAAGTATCTTACTGCACCCCCTATGCATTATTCAAACAAGAGTTTGTTTTGATATTCTCTTGAGGATGTCTCATACAGCGCAGGCGATTGATCTTTATCAAGGTAACAAAATCAGGCTCTATTAGTGATGGAACGGATAGTGATTTTGCGAAAAGCCGAATTTTTTTAATTTCAGTCTTAAAAGTCTTAATTTGTTTTATCTTTCTTAATGCACTTGAAAGGAGGTTATAGTGCTTCAATGCATGGTACAGATGATAATTTTTATATAATAATAATAATAATAATAATAAATGTCTTTATTGCACATACCATTGTATACAACAAAAGAAAAAATATATATAATAATAACAAAAATTGTATCTATAGTGTAGATATATTCTAAACTAGAATGTTTAAACAACAAGAGACCAAAAAACGTAGTACCTAACACTACAAAAAAGAAAAGAAAAAAAAAAAAATGGCATTGTGCAATAGGCGGGTTCCAGATAAAATCTGTTCAACCAACCTTACCACATACATAAACTTAATATTATACTACACGCGTCCCACGACAACGACAATACAATTTCGTGAATATTCCTCCCTCTCCTGCTCTGAACGTTAAAAAAAAATCATTCAAATGAATAACTATGACAAGGCTGCACATTGCTCCAAAAATTTATCCTTATATAGTGTTTTTTTGAAATTAATGATATTTAGTTTTTTGATCATAGGCGGTAGCGTTCCATATGACTTATATATGTGATACGTAAAAGACCTGTGAAACAAAGAGGTTCTGTATTTTGGTGGATATATGCCATATTTTAATCTCGTTTGTAGAGCATTGTTAGCCCTTTTAAAAGTAATCCTCTCATACAAGTATGTCGGTATATGTGTTGTGACGATTTTATGAAACAAAACCAAACTGTGCAACTCCCGGCGGATATCCATTCTGTGCCACCCAACATCTTTCAGTTTGTGTGAGATTCTGTCATACTTCCGGATTCCAAAAATGAACCTAAGGCAACTATTTTGAACCTTTTGTATGCGATTCGATGTAAGCACATCTATAGCGGGATGATACACAGGCGCCATAAAGTTGAAGTGAGACAGCACAAGANATCAAGAGCTTTATATTATCTGTCAACCAAGGACTGCGTGGTTTAGTAAATCTGTAATTCCTCAGTGGAGCATGAGCGTCAAACAAGGCAATTATGTTATCATTTAAAAACTCAAGTTTCCGATCAATATCATCCATATAAAACATAAAATTAAATGGTATGGACTGCAGATCAAGCAAAAATCGTTCCTGACTAATACGACTCAACAAGCGCATGTTTCTATAAAGTGGAACACTCTCAGGAACATTCACATTCATCACACAGTACACCATGTCATGATCGGAAACGTCACAGCCAATAACTCCACTACTCAGAATTAAAGACTCGTCAAAAGTAATAATTAGGTCTATTAAAGATATGCAGTTCCTCGCCGTCCTTGTAGGTGCATCAATGAGCTGAGTTCCACCCAATGAATCCATCAGAGACAAAAATTCAGTGGTATCACTTTTTTCGAAATTTAATAAGTTAATATTAAAATCGCCACAACAAACAATTTTATCCGACATACTTAAATAATTTGTAATAGAATTTTCAAATTCATTGAGAAAATTTACGTAATTAAAGTTAGGCGGTTTATACACGCAACCAACAAAAAGATGTACACCACCGCAACAAACTTTTATCCATAGTTGCTCGATACTAAACGACGTATCCATAACTACATATTGAAGGTCACTCCTAATATAAAAACAGACTCCCCCACCCCTAGTTTCACGATCCCCACGGACACAATGAAAACCATTTATATTAATTGCAGAATCTGGAATCTCATTATGTAACCAAGTTTCCGACAGAGCCAAGATATCTATATTATTGATCAAAATTAGATCTTTCACAACTGCAACTTTCGGAAGCAACGATCTCACATTCAAATGCACAACCTTGACAAGCTTGTTTATCATTTTAACAAATATAATTGCAATTACAGCATCATATCAAATCAATCAGTATTATAATTTATAACCTAAGTAAGTGTGAGACAAACAAAAAGTAAAAAACAAATTAAGTAAATCGCAAGAGAAAGAGAAAAAAGCAAAAAGAAAGAAAAAACAATTAAATGAAAATTTAGCGTTATTAAATTAACGGTATTAATACGTTATTTATACGGTAGTATTCACTTTTGGCAGTTTGTTTAATCTGTTAGATGTGATCTTGTATTATATTCATGATTGATTTCCGTATAAAGATTCCTTGTTTTATGAACGCTGTTCTATGAAGCTTAATAATATGTATCTTTTTTGGACGCTACTACTATCAGTGTCATTATACAGTCTATTTGTGGAAAAGGTCCGCAGTTTATTGTGCAGTATATACCTTTATTACGTATTTATTTGTGTTTTCCAAAATTTTCTCCACCCACACAACAATACTATAATCAATCTGAGACAGTACCATAGTATCATAAAACAACTTTTTTAGTTTGTTATCGAATATGTTACGAATAGCATAACATTTAGGCAGTAAAGTCTTTAGCTTGGAGATGTATACCGCATGATAATTCCATTTTAAATGCTGGTCTATCACTATACCCAAGTATTTAGCCTTTTCAGAATGTGGAATTGTTTCAGATTCACCGCAAGAGCAGCCCCCATTTTTGTAGAAACTGCATCGATCGTTATGTATTTCTAGATGTAAGTTATCAGGTGGCTTAGCTGCAGCTTTTGGCGAAAATGTTATACAGCAGGAGTTTTCGATGTTTAATGTAAGCAAGTTACATGACAACCAACCTTTCACCCGCTGCAAAACAAAGTTCGCCTTATACTATACCCTTTCCCACTCATCCTCCTCCACCAGCACCACTGTATCATCTGCATAGCCTATAGCAATGGAGAGAGGACGGTACCCTGAGGCAAACCAGTTGTTAAATTTTTCAGTGAGCTATAGGTACTATTGATTTTTGTCATCTGCTTTCGCCCTGTCATATAGTTTTTGATTACATTAAAGCTCTTCCTCTGATACCAAACTGTTGTAATTTTTGAAATAATCTGTTGTGAGGTACGGTGTTAAATGCCTCTTTCAGGTCGAGGAATATTGCCATTGTTTTTTTGTTATTATTAAAACAGATGAAATTTTTAAACGAAGGATATTAGAAGTGTATATTATTACAATATTTTACATAAAAATGTATAACGTAGTATTTATATTGAAAAACACAAAACATAATCACATTTATAACTCAAAAAAGTAGTTTACTGTTACATTCACAATCAAAACATCTCAAAATTTACATACTAATTAATGTTTGGTAGGTCCTCCTTTGGCAGCAAGAACTGCTGCTAATCGTCGAGGCATAGAATCAACTAAATTAGCTGTAATTTCTGGTGAAATACTCTTCTATTCTCGTAATAGTGCAGCTTTTAAGTCATTTTTATTTTTAATATCTAGTTTCCGAATTTTGCGGTCAAGAAGCTCATAGATACGTGCTCTATGGGGTTTTGTTTAGGGACATTATATAATATCGACTCCGTTCCCAAGCTTAGTTTATTGACGATTCCTTTAAATTAGTTCGCAATATGTTTAGATATATATATAGCGATCCATAATTGTTTCAACAAATACTAAACTTCTTACACCAGCCCCCGACATACAACCCCATACCATTACATTTCCTCCGCCATGCTTTACTATGGCTTTTAAGTTTCTCTTTTTCATTTCTTCGTTGCCGAAAATATTGAACTTGCTTTCGTCCGAAAATACAATGGTACGCCAGAAAGTAGTATTCTTTTGCTCATGTAATTTGGCAAAATCGACTCTTTTTTTCGCATTTATTTCGGATATAAACTCCTTTTTTCTTGGAACTCTACTGTTATAACCTTCACTTCATAACACCTGTCTAACTGTTTCTAAATTGACGGTTATAGAGCTTGATGCTGCGAGTGATTTGGTTATATCAACCGCAGTTGTTGTCGGCTGATCGTTGATCGTTTTTAAAATTAATCGCTTATCTCTAGGTGTCAGTTTACGTGGTCGGCCACCTCTTGGTTTGTTTTCGATTGACTGACGTTCCTTATAATTACGAATTACTGTCTGGACCGAAGAGCGACTTTTACTAACTATTTTTGCGACTTCAGTTAATGAACGACCATTGTTATGATTGTGAATTATGATATTTCGCACTCCAAGAGGTATTCCTTTCCGTTTAGCTTCCATTGTTAGGAGGATTACTAATTACTCTAATTATACGCAAACTACATCAACTATGATGTTTACAAATAAAAAGTAGTGTGGGGTTATATCTGTATGTAGACTTTTTTGAGTTACAAATATGATTATGTTTTGTGTTTTTCAATATAAATAATAAGTTATACATTTTTATGTAAAATATTATAATAATATACACTTCTAATATTCTTCGTTTAAAAATTTCATTGAATTACATTTCAGGAGCGGAACTATTATGATTTTCTGGGGTGTATGTAGACTTTCTTGTACCACTGTATGTCAACTTATTTGAGTGCAAGATACAAAATGAACTTTTTTGATGCTGATTTAACTAACGAAACACCTCTAAAAAGGATACTTAATTAATAATTGGCGATATTTCCACAAGGATCCTTCAAGAAATTAATTGTATAGCGAATTTTGAAAATTGCAACATCGAAAATTTTATCAAAACTTCAAATATTGTTTTCTCAAAAACTAAAAGTTATTTTTCAAAACGGGTTGGTTCATTGGAAAGAGGACACTCTTATTAACACTTTGGAAAATTTTTATTCTCATATCCCAAGAAGTGGATTTTATACGAATTTTTAAAACTTAATCGGCGAAAATTGCAAAATGCGAAAAAATTGTCGATTATACTTCTTGGACAGGGAAAAGATACCGCTCCCGGTTCTGATAACATCACAAGGAAACTGCTGAGAAGTCTACAGTCTCAGCAAACTATCGCCCCATCTTCCTGCTCCCTGTAATTGGAAAACTCTTCGAGACGCACTTGAAGAACATTCTCCTAGCTGCGGTATCAAAGAAAATTCCGCCTTACCACTTTAGCTTCCAATCCGGCTAAGCAACGTCCCAGCGACTAACTATTCTGATTTCCAACTTCCAGGTGGCACGTTTTGTAAAACTAAAATCCGCAGCAGTGTTTCTGGACGTCCGAAAGGCCTTTGACTCAGTGTGGCACAAAGGATTGCTATTTAAACTGAATAAGCTAAAAACGCCATACTACCTTCTAATCCTGATAACCCAATTCTTGTCGAATCGCTCCTCCATTGTGAAGTTGAAAAATCACTTCTCCCACAGCTTCTCCGCTCAGCAAGGCCTTCTCTCTATACCATCTATTCTGCCTCGATCTTTACAACGACAACCCAGACGCCTTTAACCTCACTGCATTACGCACTACTTTATGAAGACGACACAGCATTGGTCTCTCACAATAGGGACATCACTTCTTCGGTCCGTAAGCTGCAGACGCTCATAAATGAAACGGAAAATTGGTACCGAAAATGGCGCATCCTACTCAATCCCACAAAAACACAATTTTTTGTCCCATTCGTTTCACCCCGCACTCCCTCTCCCACAATTACAATCCAATCAACGGCAATCTCCGTCTCAACCTGCAAGTATCTTGGCATAACACTTGACAGAACGTTTAAGTTTTCCACTCCTGCAAACAAGGTGAAGATGAAAGTAAAGACACGCGCCAAACACTTTAAATCCCTCTCGTTCAGAGGTCGCGGAATCTCTACCTCATGTGCCTCGCGCATCTACAAGACCATTTGCAGGCCGATCATAGAATATGGCACCAAGAAGAACGAAGTACCACCTGGAAGTAGCGGAAAGATCTGCACTGAGATCCATCACCCGAATTAGGAACCCCCGTAATCCTCTCTTTAACCCTAGCAATGATCTGCTAAACCAACTTACCGATATCCCCCCTATCCATACCCGCCTTCAATCTTTGTCCGATAAATCCATCCTAAATTTTCCTACCAACGCCTTGCAACACACGGTTATATTATTGCCTCGATTACTCCACCCTCGCAACAATCCACCTCTTCTCTTCCAAAAACTCCTGGCCGTCGCCTACAAAAATCACGGGCAGACAGACCCTGGTCGGTAGCCCTATGCATATACATATATATATATATATATATATGCTATTGGGGTTGGGTGGGTTGTGTATTGCTATTGGGGTTGGTATTATCTGCAGTGTCCAAGTTGTCCAACACCTATAAGAGATGCTAATTCCAATAAATGGAGTACTAAGCAATAGGTTTTTAATATCCGGGTAACTATCTGGTATCCGGCTGGATTTTAAAAAATGGCCGTATACCGGATAGTTGCCGGATATCCGTTCGACCACTAGGCTCTATGTATGCTGAGTAGAGTTTGAAGCTATATCTTCTGCGCCACACCCCATTGTTTAGCCCAGGTAATACCGATGTCGGTTCCAAGTTTGGGTAATAAAGGAGGAGGGTTGCAAAGTTTGGCCAGAACTGCCACATTTACCTCGGATAATGAAGGATTAGAAGTGACGACATTGCAGAATACTCTTCGTATATCTGTTGGAACAACAATTCTGAAATGCGCTATTCGCATCTATGATGAGTCTCAAAGAACGTACTCAGGCTGAGGGATGCTGCCCCAACGGTTAGTGAGTTGTTATTTTAGACATATCTTGCATTAATGAATAAAAGTCTGAATAAATGTTATACAGTAATGACTATTGTTGTTTTAAGTCGAAGGAACACCATGAGATAAAACAGAAACAGAATGAAATATAAAAAAAAAGTAGGAAATTGACTTTTATTTTGTTAATTTTCAATGTTTTAGGGAAGAGTTTCTAAGACATGATGACAAAATTGATTGATTATTTAGATGAAAAAGTTTATTGGAAATTAATCGATTTATGCAACCAACATTACATCATTTAATTTGACATCTTTTAAGTCGTAATAATAATTATTGTAAGAACTAAATATTACGAAATTATTGTAAAGCTAAAAATAATATTAATTTTTCAGTTTTAATTATTATATAATAATTGTTAATAATTTTAATTATTTAAAATAAATATGAAGGGATAAAATTAAAGAACGTAGCCCAACCACCCAGCGTTAATTTTGACCAATCAAAAAAAAAACTACTCTGACGTAACTAACAAAAATTGACAGAGTAAAGAACACATCAAAAAACTAAATAAATTCAGTTTCACGTCGTAAATTTTTGGAAAAGTCAAAATTTAAAATTGTTAAGTGCCGCAAAAAAGTTCACGCACGATCGTAATGTAAAAAACCTCGTGCTCATCTACCCACAGTTGGAGGTTACATTTTTGACAGAAATCAATTTGGAAGCCAAAATTGTCAGTCTCTTAAAACGAACGGCGTAAATTTTTTTTCATTCAACCCCTCAATATGATGCGTCTAGGTTTTAATATGTTTAAGCCTTTTCGGCAACATTTAACGTACTTTTCCAACAATTTATCAAATAAGGTAACCTCAAATCTTTCATTTTTAATTCTTAAACAAATTTATTTGTTTTTTTTATAGAAAGGTCTTGTTCTTGGGGTTTACACTGAAGAAGGAAAACCTTTCAAATTAACAGCCGCCGCTGAATATTACAACAAAGTTTCAAACGGACAACTCGTGAAACATATAGAACTGTACGTAAAGTTTTATTTAATTTTGCTATAATTCAAGAATCATCATGTGGTTTTAAAAATCGACAATTAAGCTTAAATAACCCTTTACAAATGAAAAAAGAGTGCAGAAAGTGTAAAACATACTGAAAATTCACTTTAAAGAGTCTACATGGCGTAATTGACCATGCTAACCATATAATTTCGCAGCAGATTTGGTTAAAACGCATATTTTTGGATAAAATACGGTTGTTACTTTGGTTTTTGACGCACAATGACTAAAATGTTGTTGTTTATCATCTATAAACTATATATAACCTAAAATATATACCTAATTTACTGATTTATTTCAGAATTTTGTGTAGAAATTCCACTTTGAGTTAGGATAATTAACTCCATATTCAATCATACATCTAGAGAATGCTGAAATATCCTATTCATGCTACATCTATATAAAATGAATTAAATTTTATAAATATAGTGGCCATAGAAAATAACTATCCTCCAAATATAATTAATAATAGTATATTAAAAAACAAGTTTTGTAAGACACGTTTGAAATGCACCAATTCAAGTTGAAAAACGAGTTTTTTAAGTCTTATGAAACGTGTTTTTTATGCTATTTTTTGTAATTCGCGCTTTTACCCTTTTTTATTAACAAAAATAAAATAAATTTTGACAATGTAGGGAAATAGGTATGTAGCAGTTGGTAACACTTGAAAATAGAAATTTGAATTGACAATTAGAAACTGTCAAAACACAAAATGTATTTACCTGAAAAAAATGTTTGGTGTATACCTCCCAAAATAAGAGAAATTGCTCAGAGTTCAAGGTCCTCATCATTGTTGACTTTGTATTCGATGCTAAGATCGTGTTTAAAGATCCATAGACAAAAATTGTCACATTGACAACTAGAAAAATTAATGACCCAATGTCACCAACTTGAACTGGTTCCATAATATGTTACTAAAATCTCATTACAGCATCGGATGCTGTAAGGAGTCTCATTACAGCATCGGATGCTGTAAGGAGTCTCATTACAGCACCCGTTTGAGTACTGTTATAGCTTTCATTACCGACGCGAATTATAAAAAATACTTAATACCCCACCACATATCGGTTTTTACCGTATAATGAAATAAATTACAAAATTAAACATATTTTAGAACAACATAACATCAATATTGGTTTTAAAAGTAACTATAAAGTTATAGATTTATTATCAAATTTCAAAAGTAAAGAACATTTAAATAAAAACGGTGTATACTCTATTAAATGTGAAGAATGTGATGCTCTATACAGTCTGTTTCATAATATATGCGCAGGACTTCAGGAAGTGATAGCTTGTCGAAAAATTTGAAAAAAGTTTCTATTAACTTACCCTCTAAAATGCACCATTTTCGAGATACAAAATATTTTTTTGCAAATATCTCCGGAACCGTTTATCGTACAGAAAACAGCGTTTGTAAGTATTTTCTACTCATAATCAGTGTTGTTAAATACCCGGGTATTTATTTTGAAGGGTAAATTTCCTGTATATATACCCTGGGTGTATTTACCCATGTTAGGTATTTAGAGGTATTCATAAAATTTAATTTAAATTGAGTTGATGGCAGTTTTGCAAGCACTTCAGGAATGCAGAGTCGATTATCAATATACCAAACTTATTTTTAACATCTACAAGAATTCTACAATGGCGGTAAAATTGCATGAAAGTACTGAGGAGAGTAGAAGTAGTAAACTACTGATTGTGAGTAAAACGAGGCGATACACTATTGAACCCAAATTGTTCATCACAGTCCTTAGAGTGCATTTAAACAACTGCATTGGACCCAAAAAGGCATAATAATATATAATAATAAGAATAATTAGTCACGTCGTGTAAGGAACCGTTCTTGTGTATAGGTACAACTTTTGCAATTTTTAGATAGTCTGGAAATACGCAAGTGCGAATACATTCGTTAATGAGTTTAGCCAATGGAATAACTATAAGATTTTTGACTGTTTTGATCAGCTTGGCATTTAAAGAAAATGCATCAAAACTATTTGTATTTTTTAGTTCTGCTATTACATCGTGCACTTTACTGTAGGAAACCTCCTCAAAGGAAAAACACATCTCAACTAAATCATTACATTGCATACCCGCGCCGGACCAGTTACTTAAACCAGTCTGGAGCACCGAAATAGAAGAAACAATCCGGTCCACGACATTCGCAAAAAATGGTTAAAGTCGTCAGCGGTAATGCTAGTCGTCTGTACTCGTTTTTGAATTTTGTTGCAGTTTCTAATTACTGTCCAAGTTGCCCTATGTGTGTTATTTGAACTATTTATGTATTTGCTGTTAGCTGTTTGTTTATTATCTAATATAGTTCCCCGATACAACTTTCGAAACCTTTTCAAAGTTACTAAACTGATAAGCGACGGGTCACACTTGTGTAGGGCAGTTAATTGTTTCAATTTATCCCTAAGTTTTTTTACATCATTATCAAACCAGTGAATCTTATTAGCGTCAGAATTTGTGATCTTATATATTTTAGACTTAAGTGGAAAACACACGTCGAGAGCAGTGGTCAAAAGATTTGTGAAGTTTGAAAACTTACTGTTTATGTCTATGTTTACATTTTCAACAAAGGAAAAATTGATTTTTTCCTCACACCTATAGAAATGTAGCAATCCATGTTCAGCAATAGGTCTATAAGTACGCCTAGCTTGTTGTTTAGACGGTAGGTGTATGACTTTACACTCAAAAGAAACTGGTTTATGATCAGAAATACAAGGATCAACAACAACAACCCTATAAGCATCATGATCAAAATAAGTAAAAACTGTGTCTAAGCAAGCACTACCACGGGTAGCTTGACGGTTTATTAGTCCCAGACCATAAGATTCACATAACTGGCACAACTGCCTTGCCTTACTCGTCCCAGCATGGAAATGCACGTTAAAATCGCCTGTTATGATAATATTCTTGATCTATCTTTCTTATGAAAACCATGTTTGATTTTCACACCAAAAAATAGGATAATTAATTCTGATTTCAATGATATGTCACAAATGTCACAAACAATGTATTTCATTTAAAAAAACGTTGAATTATTCAAAAAAAAAGAATAAACCTGATGATAGTTTCACGAAGACTAAACGTCGGAGAAAATTTCTAGTTGTGTCATGACATTTTTCATAAAAAGTTGCCTTAAGAATGTTTTTTCAGATTCATGAAAAAACGAAAAATAAAGGAGTTATAGGCAAAAAACGAAAAGGTGATTTTTTTGTTTTTTGGACATATTTTAAAAACTAAAACGGCTAGATCCAAAAACTTACTTGAAAAATGATGAGCTCTAAGATACGCAACTTTGTTCCCATTTAACCATTTCTGTATCTCTTATGGTTTCTGAGATCCCAATGGTGGGGGTCGAATTTGAATTACCTTGTATACTATATTCCATACATTATGGGCATACTTATTGTTGGGGTACATGAAATAAATGTACCATGTTTTCGGAGTTACATTAGGTTAAACATCCAACCCAACCCACAACAAAACCTTTGTTTTGCTTTTATTTTCAAATATTCGTTTCAAAATCCTAAATTTTGTTTTAAGCACTGTTTATAGATGAAACAAATCCCAGCTAACCATTAAGGAGATATTATAATGGTATTAAACATTTTCAACTTCATTTAGTTGTAATTAGATTTTTGGCCAGATATTCATAACTTCCTAACACTGTGCGCTAGTGTGTCCCAGACAGTATGTCGCGCCTTTATCTTACCTACATAGAGAAATAAGGCGCGACGTCCTGTCTGGGACGCATCTGTTCCGATTGGACGGAACCCTCCTCTCCCCGCAGAACTTATTTCTGTTTCTCGTTAATTTGTAATTCCATTAAATCGCTCTTAAAAAATTAGGGAGCTCTAATTTTGAAAAACTGATAAGGGAATCCGACACCCGGCATTATTTGACATATTTTGGTCAAATTCGCGAGGAAATCCACCCAGCCGTTTTCGACATAACGGCGTCTTACTAAACCGCGGTTTTAAATTTTTTTCGTACGATAGGTTTCGAGAAAACAAATCGCAAAGTTGACAAAGTTGCTTGTACCGTAAAAAACGAAAATGCGCTTGACAGGCACACTTGTAACAATCGCAATACACATTCTTAATTAGCACTTTAAAAGCATCTATTGATTCAATAGTAGTTTTAACCAAGAAAAAAAAAGTATATTGAAAAGAAAACGCATTTATTAAAGAAAATAATACATATAAAGAATTATAAAAAAAATTTAACTAAGAAAAAGAAAGAATATTAGAAAAAACTAAGAAAGAATATGTAAAAAATATATTAAAAAATTATTGTTGTCTTCAGAGTCAGTTTCTTCGGCAGAAGGCCGACATTGACATGCAGCATAACAGGTACCACACATCATATTTACGTGAGACATGCAGATTGCAGACCGACATGTTTTACATTCATAATTTGTCATCCTTCTGAAATTCCCTTCATCTGTACAGGTTGAACATCTACGCCTTTTTGGAGGTGGAGGAGTTGAATTTCTAAGTCATCAGTTTCATTGATGGGTTGGAACCGTTTTAGTCGCATTTGGAGCTTGGATTGATTCCAACTGTCTTCATACTTCTTCGAGTAAGCTGTCCTATCGTCAGCTGGTGGGACAATGTTTTTAGAAAAACTCGTCTTTGTAATGATTCCAGTCGATTGCCGAGGTAAATTACTTGGGAGTTAATACCACTCACATTCAACATTGTGAAAAATATTACCATCGGCCACCGCTTCACATTTCGGTTCACGCTGTAGGTAGCACACATCTGATCTACAGTAATGACAGCGCCCTTGGTGGAATTATGAAAAGTGATTATTATCTCTGAGTTTTGTTTTTCTTCAGATTTAGGATCACGGACAAGTCTTAGCGTTGAGTAGAAAAAATATGGAAAAAAATATTTATTTTAGAACTTATTTTAAGCTAAGTGTCCACTTGCGAGAAATGCTATCGAGAGTATATTTTCTGGTGGACACGCATCTGAGAGTAACTATCAGAGAGTCCCCACAAACTCTCGTAGAGTAAACACGTTGAGATATGTACTCAAGTGGGCATGCACAATTTATCTATCGTGAGAGTAACTGTCAAAAAACGAACACGGTTCGAATTTTGCTGCGAGTTTTCTCAATATAACACGTTTAAAGATAACACCTAAAAGAAAATGGTCTCAAGAAGAAATATTTGAATTAATTGAAGTGTATGAAGAAAATTAAATTCTTTGGAATATCAAATCTAATGAACATAGAAATCGGGAAGCGGAGGATGCAATTTTACCAAGTATTGGACAGAAATTTAAACGGGATTTGTACCATTAGTAATAGTAACTTCTGACAACATAATTTGGTGTTCTGACAGTAAAATTAAGTCTTCTGCTAAAAGTATTTGATTTTTAGTAGTAGTGTGTAGTCTTCTGTAAGAAGGATGTGCTTCATTTGCAATATCTAGTTTTCACTAGCAATACTTAGTCTTCTGCCAGCAATATCTAGTCTTTTGCAGCCATATCTAGTCTTCTACCAACAGTATTTCATCTTCTGGTAGTAGTCTGCAGTCTTCTGTAAGAAGAATCTGCTTCATTTGCAACATCTAGTCTTTCATTAGTAGTACTTAGTCTTCTGCCAGCAATATCTGGTCTCTTTCAGCAATTGAGGCGGTTAAGTTTATATTTTCTAATAATTTTCCAAAATACTGCCAAGCCACTATTAAGCTATCACGTGTACGACAATAAGCTTATAGTTTGCATTTATAAGTGCCATTAAAGCAATCGAGTTCACTTTTTTGTGAATCCAGTATGCCAAATAACTAACAATTTGACAACGAATGTTGATATTTGTTGATATGTAGCTCTAATCTACGCCAAATCCATGATTTCACCCAACAGCTTCTTTTTATTTTTTTCAGTTTGTTTTTTTTTTTTGAAACTTTGTGTAACACTATTATTGCACTTGCAATTTTGTTTACATCCATGTTTACAAACACCAAGCACTGAAAGAAAATAAATTTTACTTTCCATAGCACGGACACATTTCACTATTTAGTGGACACGGTCCTGAGAGAAGCTCTCGGAAGTTTTATAGAAGCTCTCGGAGAGCTAAAACAGTCTCAAGTGGACACAGAGTAGATATCGAGAGTTACTCTCAGAAGTTTCTCTCTTTTTCGACTGGGAACACATTTGCAATTGTGGGAATTCTTTTTTATTTGGTTTGAGAAATATAAAACGTCTTGACGACTTTTTACTATAACTAGGTTTTGCAGATAAAATATTTGTTCTCACGAAAAAGATATCAATAGAAGAAAAAATAATAAATAGAAGTATCATAGAATATTACATGATATGTGAAGAAACAACTAAAATAAACACTTGATGAAAAAAATAATCGATTTATTGGCAAAAATATTTATAACGCATCCATTCTAAAAAGGTATACTGTAATCAGCAGGTAAAGAAAGTAGGCTATAAAGAAGTACATACTTCTATACTTTTTAAGACTCAAGAGGTGCGAAAACATTCTACTAGGGTTAACATTACTTGTAACGTCACAAAAACGTGACGTCATATCGGAACTTTAATGTTATTTTTCGGTATGTTCTACATTTTTCCGCACTTTCTTTTTATTTTTAACGTATTTTTTGTGTTATTTTACATCGANTTCGGCATTAGCATTTTCTCGAAAAACGAGATCATGACATGTAAGCTACTTTTTTTCTATCTCTTTTAGTTTCGGAGATAGCCTATGCGGACATCGAAATTGGGACACCCTGTACAGGGTGGGCAAATTTGGGTGTTATTATAGGCTATCTCAGAAACTATAAGAGATACGAAAAAAGCAGGTGCCATGTCCCGGTCCCTTTTTTCGAGACTAACCCAATCCCGCAAACACCAAACGTCTATCTTCTTTTGTTTTTAAGTTAAGCCAAAAAGTCAAATGTCGAATATCCGTAGACACCACCCTGTATATTGCATTTTATTGAAAATGAGCAATTTCTTTTTTTGGGAACGGAAAGTATAGGCTTGAAACTACATAAAAAAACTAATTTCAACCTGGGATCTCGTGGGACTTTTTTTGTAGCTTAAATTAAAGTTTAACATTGCAAATAAAATCTGTTTATGAACAGTGTTGAGAAAAACAAATAAATCCAGCATTCAAGAACTATTACAGTGTTACATAAACAACACATACAGTATAAAATTGTAGTGAAATTTCATAAGGGTACAACTTTTAATATGTTTACAATCGTTTCTCAATATTAATCAAATGTTTTTGGAAATTGATATGCAAAATAAGTGTTAACTTTACATGTCATTTTTATCCAGAGTTGAAGTTAATAAAAAGTGGTTATTGCGGAATAGCGAGTATTACAATATAACCTAGCAATCCCAATTTGCCAAAATATTAAAAATTAGTAAAATCATGGGGCTCTCCCAAAACTGGTCAATTACAATCACCCATGTCAAGTAATGTAATTATATTTCAACAAATTTATTTGCATTATTTGACATTGGTGATTGAGGAATCACGGACAAGTCAAATATTTATTTTAGAACTTATTTTAGTTCATTAAGGCCCACTTTTACCATCCTCCTGATAAACTATCTAGAAGATAGTTGCCATGGTTACGGCGGTTTTAAGCGCTCTCATTGGCTAAGAACTGGATTTATCTATCGGATAAATTTAACAGGAGGTGGTAAAAGTGGGCCTAAGTGTCTTTACTTTATACCTTTTTCAACTGGGAACAACAACATTTGCAATTGTGGGAATTCTTTTTTATTTGGTTTGAGAAATATAAAACGTCGCGACGACTTTTTACTATAACTAGGTTTTGCAGATAAAATATTTGTTCTATTCTAAAAAACGCGCGAGCTAACGGACTAGGTATACTGTAATCAGCAGGTAAAGAAAGTAGATTATAAAGAAGTACAGACTTCTATACTTTTTAAGACTCAAGAGGTGCGAAAACATTCTACTAGGGTTAACATTACTTGTAACGTCACAAAAACGTGACGTCATATCGGAACTTTAATGTTATTTTTCGGTATGTTCTATATTTTTCCGCACTTTCTTTTTATTTTTAACGTATTTTTTGTGTTATTTCACATCGATTAAAAGAAAAATTATCGATTTTTAAGCCACTTGATGATTCTTGAATGTTTCCTTAATTTTTTCCTTATCACCCAAACCCAGATTATTCCTGACCTGAAATAATTTTATTTTTAACCCCAAAAATGTTTTTATTAAAGCTTAAATTGTTTCAGGTCAGTGAATATTGCTAAAATAATATAAAAAGACTTAAATATAAAAATGGCATCGACTCGTGATGGTCGTAGTAGCTCTGCTTCATCACACAGTGGCACATCGGCTCCTCCAACAACCCGTTCATCATCCATTCGCACCCCAAAACGTCAACGATCAACAAACGTCTCGTTAGATGATAGTACCGTTGATTTGCAATGCCCGATTTGTTTTAACTTAATCGATGAGGCCCACATAACGAAGTGCGGCCACACTTTTTGTTATAGCTGCATAACGAAAGCTTTAGAACCCGCGAAACGGTGTCCGAAATGCGGCGCTTCCGTCACAAACACCGACATCATCCCGAATTTCCTTTTAAACAATTTAATCAAAAAGCACAAGTTACGATTAAACGGATTAGAAGCGTTAGGTTTAAATCGGGATAGTTCGACGGAGTTTTCGGGCCCCGCGGACGGGTTAAAAGATTTTATCGCAACCGAATCGCAAAATTTAACTTTACCCGATGTGAATGTGATGTTGGAAATTTTAACGCAACGCAAGCAGTTATTAGAGGCGGAATCTTGCGCTGCTCAAAATAAATTGTTGTTGGAGTTTTTAACCCACTTATTACAACAAAAGAAGGAGCAAAAAGATCGGATTATTAAAGAGGTAAGTTTAATCGAATCCGATATTACGGTTGTTGAGAATAAATTAAAAGAAGTACATAGTAAGTGCCCTACGTTGGAGGATGTTGAAAGGGCGGTTTCGGCGCAAGAAACTAACCCGGATATGTCGGCGATGAAAAAAGAGATGATTGATTTAATCGGAAATATTGGCTCAACTGTTAAAGATGTTGATGGGGTTGAGTCAAAACCGGAAGGTTTAACTTTAGCGAATCGACGAAGGAGGATGCACGCTCATTTCGATGATTTCGTGCAATGTTATTTTACAACGCGGGCTCCCGATTTATACGAAATCGATAAGTTAACTAAAAATGAGATCCCCCCGAAAGGGTTGGACGAATTTAAAGATAACTTAGTTAAATTCTCCAAGTATAGCTCGGTACAATTATTAGCAACTTTAAATTATTCCTCCGATTTATTTAATAACTCAACGATTGTTTCAAGTATCGAATTCGATAAAGATAACGAACTCTTTGCAATCGCCGGGGTTACGAGGCGAATAAAAGTCTTCGATTACGGCACTGTTATCCGAGATTCCGTCGACATCCATTACCCAGCCATGGAGATGGTTTCAAATTCGAAAATTTCTTGCGTAAGTTGGAACAGTTATCATAAAGGCATGTTGGCATCGAGCGATTACGAAGGAACAGTAACGATTTGGGACGCATCAACGGGACAAAGGATGAAAACGTTCCACGAACATGAAAAGCGATGTTGGAGCGTCGATTTTAACGACATCGACACGAGATTAATCGCTTCCGGTTCGGATGATGCACGAGTTAAACTTTATTCCTTAAACGTCGAAAATTCCATTGCGACATTAGAAGCGAAAGCTAACGTTTGTTGCGTCAAATTTAACCCAAAAAGCTCCTACAACTTAGCGTTTGGAAGTGCGGATCATTGGGTTCATTATTATGATTTAAGAAATATGCGGGAGGCTTTAACGGTGTTTAAGGGACATAAAAAAGCGGTGAGTTACGTGAAGTTCTTAAACAGCGAAGAAATCGTTTCCGCCTCGACCGATTCGCAATTAAAAATGTGGAATATAAATAAACCGTTTTGTTTGAGATCGTTTGTTGGGCATATTAATGAAAAGAATTTTGTTGGGTTAGCCACTGATGGTGATTATATCGCTTGTGGTTCTGAAAATAACGCGCTTTACGTTTATTATAAAGGGTTAACGAAGAAATTGTTTAGTCATAAGTTCGAGGCGATTCGTGGGATTTTAGAGCAAGAACGAAGGGAGGAGGATCCTAATGAATTCGTTTCGGCTGTTTGTTGGAAACAAAATTCGAACGTGGTTATTGCGGCTAATAGTCAAGGCATTATTAATATTTTGGAGTTGGTGTGAAATGATTTTTTTTGTTTTGGTGGACAATCAAACGTTGTTTAAAGTTGGAATCGTAAAATAAACGTTTTTAGAATTCGATGTGCTCTACTTAATAAATAAATAGTCTATTTCTTCGTGTTCTACACAATACAGTTCAAAGGATATACGCACAAATTTTAGTGTTTTAGCCGAGTATACAGAATCATTTATTGTATGTACTTTAAAAATGAAAATGTAGCGGGATAATCGGTGTCTGGTTTATTTACAAAAATATGTATATACAGTGTGTCTTCGGATTGTCTTAATAAAAATTGTTGGTTCAAAATATATTGTTATGTTAACATAGTTATATTCCACTTAATCGGTTTAATAAATTATTTAATCAGTTTTTGAGGTTATCACAACTGATTAATTAGAATGTAACTATGTCTAGAAATATTGTATGAATGTTGGGAATCATTACTTCTAAAAGTTGTAGAAGTCTGTCTCAATTTCTTTTTCGCAGAATTTTTCAAATTAATCACCTGTCCTTCTCTCCTACTTTCTGTTTATCCATAATTTCATACCAACCTTTCTCATATACGTCAAAAACAACACCTGGCAGTATTTGTGAAGATTTTGGCATTATTTTGCGCATGAAAATGATAATTGGATTAAATTCAGTGCCGTTGACACAACATGAAAGGACAACAATGTAATACATTTTTGATCTCCACTTGTTTTTATAGTTACAGTTGTAGCAGTTTTTATGGCAACACTTCTGTTACTCAACACATCAAATGTCAGAGTCATCTTTTAGTTTTGGCCATCTTTTTGCATTCAGTCAAAATGGTTTTTTCTATTGTTGGAAGGGCGAAATGCCGCTCAGCTGTTCTATATCATATTTTTCTATATTCTTTTCCATTACGAAATTAGCTACTAACAAAGCTAAATAATTAGCTAAAAAGTGTATGTTGTTTGAGGTTATAATGCAAAATCAATATGGTTTCTTTTGTTAGAAACATTATCCAACCTTTGTCATATAGGTGAAAAACAACACCTGGCAGTATTTGTGAAGGTTTTGGCATTATTTTGCGCTTGATAATGATCATTGGATTAAGTTTAGTATATTCAGCACAACATGAACGGACAACAGTGTAATACATTTTTTGATGTCTTTTATAGTTACAGCTTTAGCACTTTTTATGGCAACACTTCTGTTACTCAGCACATCAAATGTCAGAGTTATCTTCTAATTTTGGCCACCTTTTCATTCATTCAGAATGGTTTTTTCAAAAATATTATAATCATTTTCAATTCAAGTTTACTGGCACCGTAGACTGCAATCATAGGCTAGATAGTGTTCTGGGTTTATAACGGCGGGACGGGAGATAGATAGTGTTAGAAATTTGTGAATCCCCGCAATTTATGTTCGTCGCATTGGCGCACTCCTACTGCTAGTTGAATCTAATGCTGCTAGATAGAGATAGGTTTCCCGCGGCATCGAATATATGGCTACTTTTTAAGACTGGCGGGAATTTGAAATCAAATACTGAACATTTTTATATTAATTTCGAGTATAATGAATTTGGACACAGTAAACATTTGCAAAATGACAAAAAAAATTTTTTTCACGAACGACGCCATTTTCTAATACCTGGTGCTTCTGGGTTTTCTCTAGGAACATTAATTGATCAAGAATGCCGTCTCCTAAGCTTCTTTCCTTCATAAATTTTTCTATTTCCCTTCCAACTTCTTCTCGATCTTCTAGATTTCCTCTTTCCTGCAGGTTTCCAGTTGATAACTTGTTACTCTATAACTCGTACCATATGAGTTATCTACCTTTTATCATGTTCACTATTGTATATGTAACTTGCATAATCTATTTGGTATTACTTTATTGAGGAAAATCCATCTCTGTAGCTTATAACACTCATTTTGTTCCGCATTTTGTTATAACATTCATACGCTCCGAGTATTTGTATTTCATGCAGCATTTGATTTGTTTCCTATTTTCCAATGTTCTCCGATACACATATGTATTTATATTTTGCTTTATTAGTGTTGATCTCAAGTCCCCTTGTGCTTTCTTCTATAAGTTTACGCGTCATATAATTTATGTCGTCTTAATCTTGTGCAATGAGATCGTTAGCGAAACGCAGTGTGTAAAACATGTCATCTTTCCAGCTTTTATAAATTTGTTCCAAATATATCTTGAACAGCGTTGGTGAGATACAACAATTATTTTTCAGACCGTTGGTTCCATTAAATCCTATTATTAACTTTTTGGCAATTTTAATTCTTCCAGCCCTTCACCCTTTTCCGTTAGCTACTTAGTTAGTTGCACCTTGTCCAGTAAAGATAGACGTGAAAGTGGGATTTGTTAGTATGCCCTGCATATTCCAGAGTTTTGTTACACCAACGAGACCCATACGGTAACCAATTGACCCTTTTTTTATTATCTCCTATTGGTTGATCAAGTTGATCAATTATTATGGTGCATATTTAAAGTCCGAATGATATTTTTATACTTCTTGGAACATAGAAAACGTCTTGAAGTCATAAACTAGAGGAAATTTTCAATATGTAATGTGATTTTCATAAAGGTTGGTAAAACATCATTATTCACACGATAATGCTCCTCAGGCTGAAAGTTTACATATTACTTACCAAATTTAGAGTCTTGTTTTGTAATCAACAGGTGCAAATATTTTGAGGTCATATCATAAGGTCTGTTTGAAATTATCACAACTTTAATCAGTTGAGAATGTAACTATGTCCAGAAATATTTTATAATGTATATGTGGTATAAATTTGATGACGTCACAGGTGTCCTAAAAAATGTATATTGTTTGAGGATATAATGCAAAATCAATATGGTTTCTTTTGTTAGATAAAAATCATTTGCGGCGAAATTGATTGATACGTATATATAGTCGGCGTCAAAAGTAATTAAAGAGGAACACTTTTGACGCAGACTGTATTTGGTCTCCTTTATACCTGCAGTTTCGTTTCCAGCTACCTCTCGCTTTATCTTTGGTCTATGTACTTTCTGGCTTCAACTTTTCCTCGATCTTCCTGTCCTCCTCCTTCCATTACATTCTGTCTCACATATTTGTTTGACCAGGTTGTTTTCGCTCATCCTTACCAGATGTTCGAAACATCTAAATGAACTCTTCTGTTTTTATTATTATTGGTTCCATCCTTGTTACAACCCGGGGTGAGTTTTGACCTGCTGACATCTTCTTACCACCTTCTAATATTCTAATATTAGACATTCTTTGGATATGTTTATACCATGTGAATTGTCTACCTTTTATCTCGTCCACGATTGCATGCGTAACTTGTATAATCTCTCTTATTTGGTCATTTGGTATTCGTTTATTGAGGCTCTCCTGCCGAAATCCATCTCCATGTTTCTAACATTCATTTTGTTATTTGGCCACACTTCACAGCTCTTTACGATAGCAGTATAATAACATTATTATTAACACTCTCTTATACTTCTCAGATAGGAAATCCAGATAAACAACGTAATTGTATATTAATGTTTCAATCCCAAAGTACTTCATTTAATACCATGAATGTTAGATTTCGTTGCTTTCCTCCGATATTGTTTTATTAGTGTTTATTTCTAGTCTCAATTTCTGATATTTTTCCATAAGTTTTCGCGTCATATAATTTATGTCATTGTCATTTTATGCAATGAATAGCCTTGGTGAGATATAACACCTTGTCCAAAGGTCTGAATCCTGTTGTTAACTTTTTACCGATTTCAATTCTTCTGGACATCGAGAAGTTAGCCCGATGTTCCAACCCTTCATCAGGAGGGCCGAGATTCTTTTCCGTAGGTATTGTCTTCCTTAGCCAACCAGTTCCAGATTCTGAAAAATCGCCTTTCACCCTCTTTCATTAGCTACTTTGTTACACAGTGCCCAGTGGTCACGATATAGACATGGAAGTAGGATTTGTTGTATATCTTTGAAAGCTGCGGGCGTTCCCAGAGTTTTGCTACATCCAAGGCATCGGCAACTTCAGTGCCTCCGAGATTCCTACGCTAACCATTTATCACTAATGTGGTAAATGGTAATCAACTGGACTTCTAGAAGGTAATAATTTTGAGCTTATTCTTATTTTCTATTGATTGATCAAATCGATCAATTATTATGGCACCGAATGACATTTTTATACATTTTGGGTATATATAACACTGTTGTAGTATTTCTTGGAACTCAAACATACTGGTACATAGCAGACGTTGTCTTGTATTCACAAAATAGATGGAGTTGATTTTCGTTTTTTTCTGGCTGTGCCTATATGTGTAATATTGTGATGATCATAAAGATTAGCAATAAGGTCAATGAGTGAATTAATTACTGCAAGATATATAGCTCTAAATTTAGAGTATGATTTGTTTTGTCATCAACAAGTGCAAATATCACAACTGGTTAGAATGTAGCTATGTCCAGAAATATTTTATGATGTATATGTGGTCTAAATTTGATGACATCACAGGAATCCTAAAAACTGTATGTTGTTTGAGGTTATAATGCAAAATCAATATCATTTCTTCTGTTACATAAAAATCGAAAAGTCAAAAACTGTCAGTTGGGGTGAAATTGATTAACATGTATATATAGTGCGCGTCAAAAGTAATTAAAGAGGAATACTTTTGACGCAGACTGTATATCGGTCTTCCTTATACCCTTAGGTATTGGCATTGTAGTTTCTGCAGTATCATTTCCATCCTCTTTTCTTATTTTTGGTCTCCGTCTATGTACTTCTTGGTTTCAACTCTTCCTCGGTCTTCCTGTCCTCCTTCCATTACATTCTGTCTCCCATATTTGTTTGACCAGGTTGTTTTCGCTCTTTCTTACTAGGTGTCCGAACTATCTAAATGAACTCTCTTCTGTTTTTATTATTATTGGTTATTTATTGGTTCCATTCTTGTTACACCTTCTTCTTCTTAATTTATTAGCGCTACAACACGGAGTGAGTTTTAGCCTGCTGAGTCATTTTTCGCCATTCCGCCCTCTCTCGATATCTCGCTCTCCATAGTCTTACTTCAATTTTTTTCAGATTCTCTCTGACATCTTCCTACCATCTCATTCTTGGTCATCCTCTCATTTATCTACCTTTAGTTTTTTCCATAGCCCCTCTATTCTATGACTTTTTATAGATCTGGGCAAAGACAGTAGAATCTAACAAGACTGCTACATCTATTGTTGTGACAACGCAGACTACGTCACACTATTTTCCACGTCCAGTCAGGTGTTATTGTGTTCTATGCATATTTTTATAGGTTATATCATAGACATATTCATAGTAACCTCAAAATTATATCTTAATGATAATAACCTCTAAAAACACACAGCAAACACATAGACAGTTAACTGGGCGTGGAAAATAGTGTGACGTAGAGTGCAGGCAACCAACCAGTAGTGTTAGCGTCTATTATGTTATTTAATTCAATCTCATTTTCTCTGTGCCTTCATTATTTTGCATTGTGCCATAATTTTTTTCGCATCACGTCGTGTTAATATCCATACTTCACAGCCATAAGTTACAATTTTCGCTTTTATGTCGTTGCTGGTGTGCTCAAGACGTTCATGGGTTTTCCATGAACTGTCTCTTTCTCCTCATGACATTTTGTACTTCCGGCAGTGTCATACCAGGCCTGAGGGGCCTTTTCCTTCCTTAGCCTTCTTATGATATAAAGACCTACGAGTGGGTAACTTTGTACTCTGGTTAGTTATTCCACATATTTTTTGACATTAAAGCCTTTTTCCATGCTCTGCATGCGTATGAAGCCATATTTCAGGACCAATCATCTTCCTCTTGTCGTAGGCTTGGTCTATATGTTGATCCCATAACCCTTTGCAGAGATTTTATCGTCTTATGTGCCTTGTCTGTTGTTTATATCATGCAGGGATTGCTCAGTTGGGATTTTCTAGCCCACTACATCAATTTTCATTTTTCTACACATTATAATGAAGACAACCCTATTTCCTCCATTACATCACGTATGTGTTTCAAGACGCGCTCCGCAATTTTTCTAATTTCTCCTTCTTCCCATCCTGCCATAATTAATATATATGTTCCAGAGAAGTGGCTTCAGCACCGAATCTCCAGCTCTTCCAGCAATCTTATATTTGGGAAATGGCTATTCCTTAGCAATTTCTGATATGCTGGTGCTCTCTTTGACTTAAGGTTCTTTTCAATGATGGAGATATTTCTTTTTCCATCGGGGAAGAGCTGTTTAATAATATCACCTCAACTTGTTGCTCTAAGACGATTCGATTTAGATTCCCTAATGTTTTAAGAGCTATCTTTGCACGCATCCTTCTATACATCTCTCTTCAAGTCAACACATAAGCTTTTCCATGTATTCCTCTTGGCCGCCTTTATCTCCCTCTTATACTCTCTTCTGGCTTCGTCATAATTGCTATAAATAAAACTTCTTGTCATTTCTGCAACTACTTATTACCCAACATACTCAGTTGTTGAATGACATACACTAGATTCTTTGGGCAGATTGTAACAAAGGATTCTTCTTGGTATAGGACATTTTTTAAAAGTTTTTGATTTAATGCCTTAAACAAATTACATATACATACATTGCGTTAATTAATTGTCGACCCGACGTCATCATTGTAAGTATGCAACCAAATACGCAAATCGCGTATTGCAATACTAATACTGTGATATTGGTTGCATACTTGAGTTTCTTATATAAAACATTCCGATGAGACACTGCATAAATTACAATAAATTTAATAAAAAAGAAAATGGTCTTGATCAAATATTATCTTTATGAATTGTTTATAAATTCGTTATTGATAATTTTTGATGATGACGCAAAAAAAAAAAATTAATTCCGTACTTGTATTGTGTGTCTAAGAAATGAAAAAAGAAAACCTGGTAAAAAAAGTACAATTATTATTAATTTTCAAATCTTCATTAGTTTGACGAAAAGGTACTTTCATGTAAAACTTTTGTAAATAGTTTTGTATATAAATTAAATAGTTTATCGTGTTGGGACGAAAAAAAAGTTTATTGTTAAGTAAATAATTAATTAAAAAAGTTAACTAAAGAGAAAAGATTTAAGTGAATAAGAAACTTAGATTTAAGTTTTAATTTTAAGTAAATGAAAACCAAAACGTCCCATCAACAGTGATTTTGTGATTATTCCCAGTTTGTCAACCCAACCCGAACAAATTTTTGGGACGTTTCAACAATAAAAGCCAGGTTAACATTAAAAATTGTATTTGGATATTTAAAAATAAGATTAAACCAGCCTTAGATTAGGATTACTTGTTGTATTATAAATTATAATAATAAATGATGTGAAAGAAATTTTTTTTTTCATCTATTCAAGATTATATAGATCAAGAATATATTTAAATTTCCCGTATTTTTATTTTAGCGTCGGGGGCAACATCAAACAAGGGAAATCATACGTCTTTTGGGGTCTTGACAATACCTTTCAAAGTGTAGCCGTGGTTGGTTTGGGTAAAGAAAAGAAAGGTTTCCATCGAACGGAATTGATGGATCAAGATAAAGAAACGATACGTACAGCAGCAGCATGTAAGTATTTTTGTAATAAACAATTAAATCATTGCAAGTATGCAACCAATATCGCAAATCGCGTATTGCAATACGCATACTGTAATATTGGTTGCATACTTGCAATGATAACGTCGGGTACGGTAATTAATTAACACACTGTATGTATAACTCGAGTATCTAGTTCCTTATCAGTCAGAAAGCTTTAGCTTTGATAGATTATAATAACAATGTAGCCTAGAAACCTAGAATCCAGAAGAAAAAAGATTTTCAAAGAGTACTAGTCAAATCACTAATAAGCAAATATAAAGACGATACTGATACTTCAATAAAAAGTTCAAGATGTGATGGATGAGGTAATCTTCCCAACACTTTGCATTCATGAATAGCACGCATCTCCGTCGGTGCCAGTCCCTGAGGTACGGACTATCATATTTGGATTAGTCCAGATAAGATTAATTTGGTTTGGTCACATAATGAGGATATCAGATAGACTCCATCAGGAAAAAGAAAGACCACGGAGGTTGTGGAATGATGATATAAGAAGAGCAATGAAGAGACGAAATTTGCAAGAGGAGCAGATAATGATCCTAGAGGTTTGGAGAAGCAACACGGAGATGCAGCGTTTAGCCCAAATAAATAATATTTCTGTAAAGAAACATTTCGAACCTAGTCAGGTCATATCTTCATGTCTACAAACACGTTTCACAAAATAAATATAATTTAAAACACCAAATTTTGCTATCCTGCTTATCTTCCACGGACAATAGTGGACAATGTTCTGAGAGGTGTTCCACATTTATGCTTTCTTAGCGGAATCCACCGTCTGCGTTCATTGCTTCTTTAATGGCACAATTTGTAATGTGCTAAATTCTAGATGTTTTGCAACTTCGTCAAAAAGTGTCCATTTCTAAGGCTCCTGACATACTTTTTTGAGATGTCTCAAATTTTCTGTCAGAATAAGATCTTGGCAAAAGATCACAACACTGATCTAGGCCACCTATGCAAACAAAACGGTAAATACACTGAGGATGCTAAGGAATCGTTACACACTTTCCTTCCTCAAAAGTCTGCCGCCACGCAGATGCCGACCCTGTAAGTATATCCCTATATATAGCTAGCTACAGCCTTAGCTATATACCCACACTATGGGGGAAAGTAGAGATGGTCTTCATACCTATAGGTGGTAGGCGTTCAAACGCCGACCCCAATTCATACAGACCAATTAGCCTGACTTCATTTCCCCTCAAAGGGATGGAAAAGGTAATCTATCAATACCTTAGGAATGGAGTGCTTGTCAAAATCAACAATTACTGCTCTCCATGCAGTAATTTGCAGTAATCTCCATCAAATGGTGTTTAGCCATGTTGAAAAGTCGGCAGATCACAGCCAGTCTGGGAGGCGAGTCGCTGCTTATAAAGGCGCTAAGAGGATGCCCCAAGGAGGAATGCTATCACCTCTATTATGGTGCCGGGTAGTTGATGACTTGATGAACACCCTAACTAAAAATTATTATACTGTGTTTTCAAAATAAATACTGGTGTTTAATGACTATATACTTCTAATTGAGACTAGATATTAGTGTAAATACTACCAGTGGAAGACTGGATACATCTAGTAGACGGTTAAATTGTATTTTCAAAATAGATACCGTTGTCTAAACACCACATACTTCCAATGGGGATTAAATATTGATGCAGAATACTAGATACTGCTTTGCTAAATACTAAATACTGCTAATGGATCACTAGATACTGGGAATAGATGATTATACGCTGTTTTCAAAATAGATACTGGTGTTTAAAAACTGTATACTTCTAATTGAGACTAGATATTAGTGTCAGACGACTAGATACAACTTTGCAAATGACTAAATACTACTAGTGGAAGACTGAATACATCTAGTAGACGATTATATTGTATTTTCAAAATAGCTACCGCTATCTAAAGACCACATACTTCCAATGTAGACTAAATATTTGTGTCAGAAGACTAGATACAGCTTTGCAAATGACTAAATACTACTAGTGGAAGACTGGATACATCTAGTAGATGGTTATATTGTATTTTCAAAATAGATACCGCTGTCTGAAGACCACATACTTTCAATGGAGACTATATATTGGTGTCCGAAGACTAAATACTGCTAATGGATCACTAGATACTGGGAATAGATGATTATACGCTGTTTTCAAAATAGATACTGGTGTTTAAAAACTGTATACTGCTAATTGAGACTAGATATTAGTGTCAGACGACTAGATACAGCTTTGCAAATGACTAAATACTACTAGTGGAAGACTGAATAATAATCTAGTAGACGATTATATTGTATTTTCAAAATAGATACCGCTATCTAAAGACCACATACTTCCAATGGAGATTAAATATTTGTGTCAGAAGACTAGATACTGCGAATAGTTGATTATACTCTGTTTTCAAAATAGATACTGATGTTTAAAGACTATATACTTCTAATTGAGATTAGATATTAGTGTCACAAGATGAGATAAAGCTTTGCAAATAACTACGGCTCGTTACTACCATCTTCTGGTTCAGCTATCTATGGGATTATTACTATGGATACGGCTATTTCGCGCGCTCTGATTGGCTAGTAGATGGGTTTCTATAAGATAAATTTAACTAAAAGATGGTAGTAATGGACCTAAATACTACTAGTGGAAGACTGGATACCTCTAGTAGACGGTTATATTGTAGTTTGAAAATAGATACCGCTATCTAAAGACCACATACTTTCAATGGAGACTAAATATTTGTGTTAAAAGACTAGATACCGCTTTGCTAAAGACTAAATGCTGCTAATGAAACACTAGATACTGCGAATAGATGATTATGCTATGTTTTCAAAATTGATACTGCTGTTTAAAGACTATATACTTCTAATTGAGACTAGATATTAGTGTCAGAAGATTAGATAAAGCTTTGCAAATGACTAAATACTACTTGTGGAAGACTGGATACATCTAGTAGACGGTTATATTGTATTTTCAAAATAGATACCGCTGTCCAAACACCACATACTTCTAATGGAGACTAAATATTTGTGTCAGAAGAACAGATACTGCTTTGCTAAGGACTAAATGCTGCTAATGGAACACTAGATACTGCGAATAGATGATTATACTTTGTTTTCAAAATAGATACTGGTGTTTAAAGATTATATACTTCTAATTGAGATTAGATATTAGTGTCAGAAGATTAGGTACAGCTTTGCAAATGACTAAATACTACTGGTGGAAGGCTAGATACTTCTAGTAGACGGTTATATTCTGTTTTCAAAATAGATGTTGCTGTCTAAAGACTACATACTTCCAATGAAAACTATACAGGGTGTTTCGGTGACTCGGGGAACAAATGTAACCTAGTATACTAGAGTGAAAATGATGACGATTCATGTAAAAAAAATTAGTAAAAGTCCTCAAATTGCAAAGATATAGGCCATCAAAGTTGGGAAATTTTAACACATTTTTCTAAATATCTTAAACACTATTTATGATAAAGTGTTGAAATTTGGTACAGTGTAAACTAATATCATGTAAAATCATTAGGCAATTTTTGAGTTGGATCGGTACACGGGAACAATGCTATACGGCTGTTCCTATACTTTGTTTGCTCAGAACTTTTTTATTCTATCATAACCCTACATTTATTTTTGCAGTTTCTAATAGAAAATTTAGTTTAGAATCTTTTATCACTCTTAGAGAGTATTAATAAAAACCACCGTTTTCGTATTAAATACAAAAATGTTAGGCTCCGAATTCAATAACACTAAAAAAAAAGAAATAAATAAATAATCTGAATTGGCAATGGCAAGAAAATCGAACTGAGCTGTCATAACTATTATGCATGCAACATGTCCAAGTGGCAGTAATCCAGACGAATATCACAATCTCTTGCAGTCAGAGCCTGATGGAGAACTACGTGGTACGGGTGCACCCTACATTAAAATGTGTTAGTTCGTATTCTCGCTGGTCGATTTCATAAAACATGTAGTATTTTCATATATTCTTTTATACCTACCTATATTCTCTTAAAATACGTCGGACCGTCGTCCGAGTAACACCTAAATCATCAGCGATTGTTCTTGTGCTAAGCTGTGGATTGAATTCCACATACTCTAAAATATTTATTACGTTTTCTTCAGTGCGACTTCTACGTGTTCTATGATATATAGAACGATGAATACTTCCTGTAGTCCTTAACTGATGGGCTATACGGATGAAAACCTTTGTGTTATAATGCTGCCGTTGTGGATAACGAACTGCATAATGTCTTGCAGCAATAGTTGCATTCTGCATGCATTCAAAGTAACTCGCAAGCATAAATCCCGACCAATGAGGAAGCATACGCTTCCTCATTGGTCGGGATTTTTAAAATAGCTAAATTAAGTTATTCACACGACAGAGAAAACACTAAATGACAGTAACAACAGTTTGACTTGACGCCATAAAATTAAACAATCGGATTTTGTTTTATCATGGCCCGCTAAGATCAATGAGAATATTTTGATATTACCTAAATGTAACACCCCGTACCTCACTTATTTAAGCAGCAAGCAAAAAAATGGACTAACGAATGTTGTCAGAAATTATCTAAAGATTCTAAAAATATTATAGCTGAATGAAGTTTATTATCAAAATTTTACGAAAAACTACATTTAAATTTTGTCGTTGGCATTACGCCCCTAGCGGTAGTTTTACAAACTTGAAAATAATTTCCAGCAGTTTCTATAGGCCACTTTGTATAAGAATTTTTTTGTCTGAATACTA